TCTGAACTTTACCTCTTTGCCATCTCATAATTTAAATCCTGAAGCATCTGGCAGTCTCTTTGTGCTCTGGATATGTTGTGTTACTGGATGCTAGTGTACTCCAGGATTAAATTGTATCTCACCTTTTCCATTAGATCCTATAAGATTCACAAGTAAATGTGGAGAAATAGGGTGGAGGTTTGTTCTATTCATTGTACACCTCCATTCATTTTCGCTGTCGACCCACCATTTAGTCAGTCTATTTACTCATCATTTATTGCTTACTCTTTTGTAGACTTGTTCTAAGTGATAATGATACTGAGATTAAAGCCCAACATCGCTGGGGGCTGGTGGTAATTAACAAGCAGGCAGGGCCATGCAAAGATTTAATATTCTTAGGAACCAGAAGCATTGGGAATGTTTGTTGGCTGAGGAGTAAAAGCAATAAAGAGAAAAAGAGAGATATTACCCAAGTATGCTTAAGAGGAAATGTAAAAAGAATGACTTTAGACTCCATAAAGAGAGGTGTTATCCAGATATTCAGAGAGAAGAAAAGAAACCTGCAGGAGTCATAGTGAGTGAAGAAAGCTAGGTCCCCTGTGGAACATGGGAGTGTACAAGTTAGGTGTTGAGAACAGGGAGCACCTTAGAGGTGTGGATCTGTACGTGTAGGGTGACAGCTGTGTACATGCTATACCTCAGCATGCTGCGAACCAGGAATTTGTAACAAGACCAGTTGACATAGGATTTGTTTTCTATCAGCACATAAATGTTAAGGTACCTGTTAAGTCATTGGAGAAGCCTTTCTTCTGACCAATCCTCCAGCTCTTCTAATTAGTACATTTGTCTATGAGAGCTGAAGTCCTTGGGCTAGAACCTTTGCAATCTGTGAAATTTCTGGGTCACTTAAATCTAGAGGCTACCACAGGCACCCGCATAGGTTAAGCTATGACTTGGCCAGTCATCTCCCTTGAAGGAAAGGATATCGTAGTATCCAGCCTGCTCAGAACACTTACCCTGTCTGTTTCCAGTGATTTAAGTTTCAGGCTAACAAGTTTTCTCTATTTGTGGCTGTGCTCTCAAGATTCTTACTTGCAAGTAACAAAAATGAGCTGTAAGTTAAGCAATAAAGTGTTACAGGTTGTTAGGGGCACACAAATGCCCCTGAAGGGTTAGACATGTAGATGTGGAGAGTAGACAACCAGCAGACCAGGCAGAATTGGGTTCCCAAATCCTTCCAGCTGTAAAAGCAGTGCTGCTTCATTGAAGGCAGGGCTGCCTTTGGCATCTCTGACACGCAGTGGTCGCTGACAGCATCCACCCAGACCTCTGCCTCCACTGTCCTCAGCTTTCCCTCGTTCTCACCCATCCTAGCGTGGATTCTCCTTGTATTCGCTTGTTGGCATTGCTGGCTTACATTTCAGAGTCTGGAGTGCATGGTCTCATTGGCAGGGTATAGCCCATTTGCTATTAGCTGAACTGCAGAAGACACCAGAAAGAGGAGAGTGTGCAAGTTTATCTACTACAGTGGACATGGGCTTTGGTGAAAGATGGAATGTGGCCGCAGAGTGACAGGTACTGTTACAGTGCCGTGAAACATAGGAGTAAATGTTCCAGCCCTGCGCTATTGGAAGGAAACAATCTTAGGACAGTAGACAGTGAGTTTCTTTCTGATTCCTTACCCGTTTTTGCTTAAGATTGAATGTTTTTGAAGTGTTACATGTGATTCATTTTTGTTACCTAGAAAGATTCAAGGAATAGGAATTTGAAGAGAACACATTTTATTATGTTCCATTGTTATGGGCATTTCACAAATTAGTCACTAGGCATTAAAGGCTTAAATTCTTCTTTGAGTCTTTACTGTTTTACAGGTTGCCTGGAAAATAGTGGAATCTTAGAAAATATTTATAGAATGCATTAATAAATGTTTGTTGACTAGAGTAGCGTTCTCTTTATTTGTGGATCCTGTGAAACTGTAGATAATAACTGTGCTCTCCTTTTCCTATACATACACACACATTTAATGTTTTTTTCCCTTTCAATTAAGGGTGTCACAACTATGGCTAATACTTCAGCAGTTTGAGGTGTAACAGCAAAACTAGCATAAATTTATTTTTCCTTCACAATTTCACAGAAGATTCGTTGCTTAGATGTTAACCTCAGCATATGCTCTTCTCCCCTTCTCTTTCCTTCTGAGTGGAGAATTTCATCTTTTCACTTAAGAGCAGCAATTTGTGGTTTCTCTGTGACAAAGCTGAACTTCCAACATGACTGCTTTTATGTTTTGGGGTCATTAAGTAAATTGAGGGTTATTGGAACACAAGTACTGTGATGCTGCTGTGAACCGTCTATAGCCAAGGTGACCTCTAAGTGCTAAACTGGTAGGTAGTGTGTACAGTGTGGAGAGCATTCGCATCTTGGGGGAGAGAGAGCAGTATGAGATTCTGTCACACTATTCAGATAGCACGATATTTAAACTCTTAAATAAGTTTATTTGCTGGCTTTTCCATTTAAGGTCTTTGGAGTTCAATTGACAATAGGTAATTGAAATGGTAGCAAGGGAAACTGTAGGGAAGGGGGCACTGTTGAATGTATTCTCTCAGCTCGTGTGTTAGGTGTGCGATTCGTGTCAGGCACTGTATTGACTGCTATTTGCAGGATCAAAGTGCTTTGATGTACTAGTAAAGAAGTGCTGAGGAAGAAGGGCTGGGTTAACAAGAATCAGAACATGAGAATTAGGGCCTAGAATGGTGGAATGCTGCATAGGTAAGAGTAGACTGAGTCTGAGTCAAATTCCCAAGTTTTGATTGGGATTATGGCAGGCCAGGGCGGGCAGGGGCCGTGTTAGAGAGATGGTGGGCAGTAAGGGGGCACGGGCCCCTGCTGGGACTGGAATGGGAGCTGTGCCTCTACGCACTTTTCCCTCTGCCAACTCTGGCGTTTCTCAACCTGTTGCTGACTCATTTTTAGGGAAGTTGTGTACTTGCTAGCTCTTCTCTAAGTCACTCTAGTGCAAACAGGGGTAACAAGCAATGCAGTGTCCCAAGTTCTTAGAATAGTGTTTGACCTATTGTACGTATTATATAACCATTTATTAAATGCAAATAAAAGATAATATGTCAGGGATTCTGTTTGAATCAAAGTGAGCCAAATACCAGATTTATTCTTTCACCTTTTGATCTCTGTCTTTTTGCAAGTGGCATCATCACCATCGCACTAGTCAGGTACAGTCCGTGTTCTTGACACTGTGCAGTGCAGCATCTCAGCCACCTTCTGCTCCTTCCCAGCAGGCTCCTTATGAATGGAGCTCTCTGCTTCCAGCCGTCCAGCATCTGGGTTCCCTGAATTATTCTGATCTTGATCCAGCAGTCCCTATTTTGTGACTGCTGAAGTTACTTTAAAGTGTGTGCATGTGCACACACACATAATCCCATCCAGGTTTTCTAGCTGTCCCCAGTGAAAGGGGTGATCCAGTGTATCTCCTGTCATTATTAGAAATGGAAATCCTGGTTCATGGGCTGGGGGGGCCTGGCCAAGATCCCCACCTGCCTGAATGAGGGAAATGGTGAAGGATGAAGAAAACACAGAAACAAAATTAGTAATGCACAGATGGGGTGGCTGGAAGGTCAGTGGCTCAGGGTGGCCCACTTTAATTTTGTCTAGGGAGAGGTGCAGGCGAGGGTTTGGTGCTTTTCCTGGAACAGCAGTAAAGTAGTGGTGGCAGGGGCAAGTTTAACATCATAAAAGAAACAGGTTAAGATCCTTCCCCATGCTGGGGTCCTGGTGCCCTCCCTGTGTTGTTCTCAGTGGATCTCATCCTGCCCTGTGAACGCCACAGCCTCATCAAGATCTCAGCAGTGGGTGAGGACGGCCTCAGACATCCGCTAGTCTCCATTTATAATTGTGGTCCTCAACAATGAGCTATATGTACTTTGAATCTTATCTGTGTGAGAATCTACAAAGGAAACCAGCTAGGTCTTCTGCGTTCAGCAGATACCAAAAATGGGGTGGAAAGATGGTAAGAACTGGAACTGGAACTTGAACCTCGAGCGTTTGACTTTCAGAGTTTGTGTTTTTTTTCATAAAGGATGGCTGCTTTATCGTTCAAAGTGTTCTCGTAAAGATCAACCAAGTTTTCACCTGTATGTGCTTTCCTTCCATCTTAGCGTGCTGTCTGGCAAAAGCCTGGCTGTATAGAATTTAGATACAACATGCTCTACATCTTTTGAATTGCTCATAGTTAACATTGACAGATTTGTTATCAGTTCTCCCTATTTTTATGGATTTGGGTCTGTATAAATTTATGAACATTTCAGTTCACAACCTTTGTATTTTGCCAAAATTGTCTGTGTTGTTTTAGTTAGTTAAGGTTTGCAGAAATGAAATATTATATAGGTAGTAACTGTCTAATGTCTAATATGGGAATAAAAACTTTAAAATCTGGAATCTTTAATTCATCAGTGATTGAGACTCAAAAACTTCCAATTATAGTGTGACCTGGTGACATATGCCTGTAGTCATGGCACTTAGGAGGCTGAAGCAGAAGGATTGAATGTAAGTTCAAGGCCAGCCTGGACTGCATATTGAGACCCTATCAAAAAGATATTTTTTTCTCATTTATGTACTCATGGGAGTCAAAACAGTTCTTTAAATTGTGCCAAAAACAAGAGGTTTTTATGTCAGGACAACCAAGGGTCCACTAGACCAACTTGGGGCATCCAGCTACACACCATAGCATTCTGCTGGAACCCAGCATCCACAGGTCACCATCACCAAGAGTCTCTGCTTCTATGCCGTTTTAAACAAATGTATCTCTTCATCAAATGCAACCCAGTTTGTTCTTGTTTTTTCCCTTAAAAAAAAAAAAAAGGCTGGGGCTTGGAAATATAAACTGGCGGCAAAAGCGCCTGCCTGGCAAGCACAAGGACCTGAGTTCAATTTCTGGTACTAAAACAGCAAAAGACTTTTTCTGCCTTTGAGAAAAGTAAAGGTGTAATATATATTCCAATTTCTTTTGACAGAGAAAAAGACAAGCATATGAATCTAACCTCATCTGCAAAGGGCTGGAGCTAGAAGCAACAAGATCAGTAAGTATTAGCTCCTTATAACCTTGGGAAACTTGCTTTTGGAGATTGGAAGGCTGCTTGGAGTTTGTGGATGACACTGGAAACACCAGCCTGGCTACACTGTAGTCACAGACTGGGAGGGGAGTGGCTCAAAGTCTGCATTCTATAGGATGTTTCATCGTGTTTCAAGTTGCCCAAGAATTTAATAATAAATGCATATACGAATGGTTATTTTCTTCCTTTGAAAACCTTTGAAAGGTTTTGCTAACTATTCAAATAGTATAAAATAATAAAAATTAGAAAAACATAAGAATAGGAAACATAAAAAATCATGTGAATCTTAACTATCCAGAAATTACCTTGTAGTCTGTCTAAACTTTTCTTTCTCAGGTAAATATGCATTTTTTACCTTCCAGAAAGGGAGTTATATTTCACAATTTATAATTTGGTTTTTCATTCTAATGTATAGTAAATAAACAATAAGTGTAGGTTACTGAGATTTTAATGGCCACATAGCACAATGAATATACAAGTTAAGCAGTCCATTTCCAGGCTTAGAAAATCAAAAAATTTTAAATTAATACAGCATTGCAATGTTCTAGCTGTTTTAAGTCACTAATTTGTCTTTTTTAGTACCTGGGATTACGTGCTTGCAAGGCAGACGCTTATGCCGCTGAGCTACATCCCCAGCTACTAATTTCAATGGAGTAACATACAAATTAACAAGTTTAGTTTTCTAATGTAAAACACTAGCTTTATGAAAGAAGTATAGTAATAACTTTAATTATTTTCTTGATTAAGGCATATTTTGTTCAGTAGTTAGGATTGGACCCAAGACCTTTGCACTAAGCTACATTCCCACCCTTTTTATTTTTTACTTGAAGATATGGTTTTGCTAAGTTACCAGGCTAGGCTTGGACTTGCAATCCCCTTGCATTAGGATCCCAGAGTGCTACAGGTCAATCTTTATTATAGCTCCACTTTTTGACGTTCTCTGCAAATGTATATTTCTTTTCCTTAAACAAACAAAACAGCTCATAAGAATGTGCGTATCTCAAAATTGTGAAAATAGATGGTTTGGTTTCCTGATATGCATGTTTTTCTTCCAATTTAGGTCGTGGATAATAAGCTTGTTTTTGTAAAAGTACATGCGCCTTGGGAAGTATTATGTACATACGCTGAGATAATGCACATCAAATTGCCTTTGAAACCCAATGATCTAAAAACCCGGTCTTCAGCCTTCAGCCATCTCAACTGGTTCACTAAAATCCTCAGTGTGGATGAAAATATCATCAAGCCAGAGCAAGAGTTTTTCACTGCCCCATTTGAAAAGAACCGAATGAATGATTTTTACATTGTTGATAAAGACGCCTTCTTCAATCCAGCCACCAGGAGCCGCATTGTAAGTCTAAGCTAAATTTAGTTTCGGTCATAGTGATTTGGAACTTGTTGAATATATTAGTGGTTTGGTTTGGTTGGTATGTTTTGGTAGATAAGTATTTATTTGTTTGTTCATTTTGAGACTCTGTATTTCAGGCTGGCCTTGAAATATATAGCACTATATAGCACAGGCTGACTGCAAACTCATGGCGATTCTCCTGCTTCAGCCTTCCAAGTGCTAGGATTATGGGTTGCAGCACCACACCCAGAGATTTTGGTTTTAAAAGCTGAAAAAAATTAAAAATTCCTACAGATTTCCTGTTACTGTATAAAGAATGTTTAGATTGGTTGGTTCTACTGTATAAGTCACATACTCTCCTTTGGAATCTTTTTAGGTTTACTTCATCTTGTCTCGGGTCAAGTATCAAGTGGTAAACAATGTGAGCAAATTTGGGATTAACAGACTTGTAAGTTCTGGAATCTACAAGGCAGCGTTCCCTCTCCATGATGTAAGTCAAACGGCAGAAAGGAACCAGGAGGCCTAATGTGTGCTGTGGTGGTGGCGGTAGGGAAGGACCAGCCTTCCTGATCTCATGCTTCTTCCTTAGTAAAATAAAGATAATATACTCCAAGGTAACAAGCTCCTTCAGGGCAGAAGGGAGCCTGACCCCTTTTTTCACTAGTGTATCTCAGGCAGAAAGATGCTGAGATGAAAGGAGTGGATGAAGGAATAAACAATTTTTCTCCTGTTAATGGCTGTGGCAATGCCAATTAGCAGCTCCTACATAAGGGATTTCAGGGGCATAAACTTCTACGCTGCTGTTTTCTCGTTAGATGACCTTGTAAAAGTCATTTACCTGTTCTGTTTGTCAGTTTCTCTGCCCATAAAGTCAGGGTAATAATAGTACGTATGTCATAGAGCTGTCATTAGGATTAATCAGGGTCAAATATTAGTTCTTGGCATATATGTAGGTGTTAGCTATTTTGATAATTGCTAGCAAATGCTGTTATTAAACAGAAAGATAGGAATTCTTTGTAAGAGAAATACATGTTGGAAATTTTCATTTATCATTTGGCTATAACAGACTTTTTTCCCCTTCCAGTACTCTTTTTAGACTTGCCAGGGAGTATGTCAGGACTTTTTAAAAAAAGCACCTGGCAGGGTTCTTGTCACAGTAGCACACCCTAGATTGTTGACATTTTTCAAGGACTGTGTTTGGAGACCTCAGCAACTCTTCAAGGGCATATCAGTAACTGATAGCATCTTATATGGAATCTGATTTTTAAAATATGATCACTCAGACTCCATAAATGCAAAGACATTTTATCTAAAGTTGTTTAAATAACATTGGTCATTAAAATAAATGGAGTACTGTATTAAATGGCATTGTTACTTTGTCCACATACATTATTGATTTGTCTGACTCTGAAGAAAGGACTTGCAGTTGATCATTACTACTGCATACTCCATCCATTGGTGGGTGAAGACAGTCTTGAAATGTATATATAGAAGCACTAGGATAGGAAGCAGCTATTTGATTCATTTGGATAATAGAAGCAGAGGAGAAGAAGCTGAGCTTCCCAAGATGTCCATTGTGGCTGTCCAGGCCAACAGCCTAAGGGCTTTATTTTTGTGCCCCACCAAAATTAGCAACAGTGGCATAACATAAACTTTGGGGATACTTGCAAATACTGAATGCCAGAGTTCAGTAATGTTCTGCTGGCATTTGCCTGCTCCCAGGTCTTTTCCAGTATAGCCTGTAAATATAGTGATCCCATACCCAGGCCAAGGGTTGTACCTGAATGGTATTTGGGAGGAAGGTTGGTTGAAGTCTGGCTTCATGCCGAGGTTTGGCTGGGTGGTGATCTGGTTCTAGTACATGAAGAAGGAGAATGCGTCAGACAAGAGAAAGGCCAAGTGAATTTAAGAAGAGGCAGGAGGTTTTCTTTCTTTGGTAAACTGCATGTGTAACATGTTATCAGTTGTCTTTGTTGCTTATTTTCTACGTGTTGTCACAGAATACCTACAGAACTGAGGAACAATGAGAAATGTGGGTTTAGAGTTGTCCTGCTGCTTACTGATTAAAGGCATTGGTTCCACTGTTGTCCAGAAGAGTGGCAGGCTCCTAGATGTTCCTCCATTGGTACCTGGGTGGCCCAATTTTTCATTGTTACAGCTGCCCCACTTGGGGAGTGTTAAGTATTCCTGGGCCTCCCCCTGAGTGTCTGCATTGTACCCAGATTGTAACATCCAAGCATTCATCTCTACCCACATTTGTAAATGGTCCTCAAGGGATATTGAATTGAGGCTTGTTTAGAATCGCTAAAGGTTGTATTTCAATTACTTCCAACAAGTGGGGTTCCCATTTTCATGAATGTGATTTCAAAGTATTTAGTAAATAGATTTGTGAAAATGTGATTATATTTCCCTCTGCTTCTCAGTGCAAATTTGGCCAACCGTCAGAGGATCCCAGCTGTCCTAATGAACGATACCTTCTGTACAGGGAATGGGCTCATCCACGGAGCATATACAAAAAGCAGCCCTTGGATCTTATCAGGTGAGTAGTCATGGATAGTGAGTGCCCTCTGGCATCTGAGTGTGACACTACCCAAAGGACATTGCCAACCCAGGAAGTTCATGCAGAACCCCGAGCTGGGTTTTTATTGAGTCCTGTCCTGGGTTTCTATTGAAGCTTGCTTATGTACGCAAGACTGATTGAATCATTACCCTTGTGGTCTCAATCCCTGGGCCCTTCGTGTCCTTGCAGGTCCATCCAGTGTCACATGGCTCATAATTCGGACTATAATCAAGTGATTGGTCTGTCATAGCTGGTCCCAGCCTGAGTCATATGATTAGCACAAACTAGGACCCATCAGACTCAACTCATGGGTATAAGCCCTCACGTGGTAGTCTGCTGGGCCCACCACGAATGAAAAAATACTCCCATCTCTCAGAAGATTCTAAGGGCTTAGAGGTTCCTTTTAGGAACTGAGAACAAAGACCTGCCAAATTATTTTAGAAGAGTAAATGTTAGATTTAGCTTATATTGCAAAGTAAGACCTCTAAGTTTTCATTCTTTTCTTGAATCTGCTATTAAAACTATGTCATTGTATATCACAAGAAAAATGATTAGCTCAGGGTTTGTCTTCGCAATGCACCAATGCTGGCTACTGTCCAAAAGATTATGCTGTTTGGGCATGGTGGAGGATCCTTGCTGCTGGAGAAAGAGACTAAGGAAATGCAGATGAGCAGATAACAAATTAATGAATAGAATACTCCTTAACTGGAATAAAATAACAGAATGATGACATGGGAGGTTGTTAAGAACAATTGTCTTTGAGTAGATGAGACCTGGATAGTGAAAAGGATCTAGTATTTTAAGGATTTGGAGGAAGTCCTTTCCAGAGATAGAGGTAGCTTATACATTCATACATTTAAAACATAGATGCATTTGACAAAAGATCAAGGAAATGGGAGAATCCAGGCTAACAAGAGAATGGTGACACACAAAATTAGAGGGGTAGCTGGAGAAAAGGTTAGACTGTGTAGTAAAAAGCAATCATGATATTTTAATTCTGTCTCACATTTTGCAAGATGGAGAAAATGGCTCACAGGGAGACAAAGTAGAGTCTGTAAGTGTGAGGCAGGTGAGAGATGGTGAGAGCAGATTGGGAGTGTATTTGGGGAATACAGTTGACGGAATTGATTATGAACTGGATGGGGAGAGTAAGGGAGAGGAAAATCAGGTTATCCTCAGGTCTGTCCATAGCCAAATGCCTTCTCTTTGAATTTTCAGCACCCCTGCAGGTGTTCTGCTTGGGAACATGCCTTACCTTTACAGTGAGAGTTTTTAAAACACTTGAATAGTTTGTCTTAGGTTTTATTTTAGGAAATACACAAAAGTAGAATAATGTGGCAAGCCTGAGTGGATGATCACCCCGCTCCAAAACATGCTACACCCAGCCCTTTGTGTTTCATCTTTATCTCTACCTCCTTCCTTCTCCCTCCACTGGATCATCTTGAAGCAAATCCCAAATATCATTTCATTAACATCTATTTCTAAATATATTAGGGTTTTTGTTTGTTTGTTTGTTTGTTTGTTTTGGTACCAGGGATTGAACTCACGACCCTGTGCTTGCCAGGCAGGTGCTTATGCCTCTGCGCTAAATCCCCAGCTTTGTTTTGGTTTTTGAGGCAGGGTCTTGCTGTGTAGTTCAGGCTGACCTTGAACTCACTTTGTAGCCCAGGTTGGCTTCAAATCTGGGCAGTTCTTCTGCCTAAACTTCCTGAGTGCTGGGATTATAGGGGTGCACCACCACATCTCGCTCTAAATATTTTAAACATAACCAGAATACTCTTTGAGATAAAGTAATAACTCCCTAACTTCATCAAATAATCAGTATTCAGATTTCCTTAATTTTCTCAAAAAGTATTCGTAGTTTTTTAGTTCAAATCAAGATCCAGAGTCTGAATGTTACAGTTTATATTTTCTCTGTAATCTTTTGTTCTTTGGTTTTTTGTTTTCCATCCAGTTTTTGCAATAATTCTTTATGTCTAGTTTTATTCCTTGCATTACAATTTTACTTCCCCCATGGTATTGCTGATATTGCTAAGCATGTTCCTCTGTTCTGTTTGTTTGCCTTAGTTAAGGGATGTGATCCTCATATAGGAATTTTATCTACTTTGTGCAAAATACTTGATACATGGAGTTAGATCCTCTTATCAAAAGGATCATTATATCCAGTCATCTTTTTCTGTGATCTAGTAGCCCTTAATAATTCTTGCTTTATTATTTCATAGGGATTTCAGTTCATTATTTCATTTGATCATACTCTTTTTTTTTTTTTTTTTTGGTGCCAGGGATCGAACTCATGACCACGCACTTGCAAGGCAGGCGCTTATGCTGCTAAGCTAAATCCCCAGCCATGATCATACTCTTAATTCCCTCCTCCTTCATTTATTAGCTGAATTAAAGTCCCAAAGAGATACCTTATTAACCCCATTTATCCTATACAGTAAAGTTTTAAATGAAGATGTTTGTACATTTGTAAATACAGTCAATTATCCCTGGTACCGTGGGGACTGGTTCCAGACCCTCTAAGAAAAATGAAGTCCACAGATTCCCTGTATAAAATGGTACAATATTTGTATGTAGCCTGTGTGTATATGTCCATATACTTTAAGTCATCTCTAAGTTATTTATAATATCTAATGTAATAAAAATGCTGTGTTAATAGTGGTTTAGGGACTAATGACAAGAAAAAAGCCTGTGCATATTCACTATAGAGAGGCTGGTTTTCAGCCATATTTTCAGTTAGTAGTTGGTTCAGTCCATGGAAGCAGAACCCTTGCATGTGAAGGGCTGGCTATTTAAGGTTGACGTTGGTATGAAGTTTTCATTTTATTAATCTCCTTTTGTTTTAAATTTGTATCGTCTGTTGGCAGGGTGGTACATCTTACTCAGTAGAAGAAAAACAATTCTCCTACTGTTTTAAGTATATTTTGGTAAGGGAGCATATTTAACTATTCTTTCTCCCTGGTCCATGTATTCTTCCCCATACTGCTTCACTAGTAACCTTGTAAACATTCAGGCTGTTGACTTTCCAGGACTATCAAAAGGGAGGCAAACTCCTTCTCAAAAAGTGAAACAAAAAAATTGGAAAGCACAACCTATAGGAAATAGACTTTATACAGATAAAGAAAGGAAATTTTTCCTCCAAATTCCCGTTTACACTATGAGAGAAAAGAAGGTATGCCCATAAGACAAGACTAAGAGACTATATAAGCATCACTGTGAGAGCAAAATGTAGCTCATAGAAATTAAAAATATGATAGAAAAACTCCCAACAAAGAAAATGAGCTTGAAAGATGCCTGGAGGGATTTATTCAAGGGGTTGAAATTGATAGATGACTTCCAAAAGTTGAACACTGTCTTAGTACTTTTCTCTTATTGCTGAGACAAAATACCTGACACCCAAAATTGTAAAAAGGAAAGGTTTATTTAGTTAACAGGTTGTAAAAGTTTCAGTCCACAATCAGCTGGCTCCCAGGCAGAGTGGCATGGCTGAGGGTCAACCATTAATAGTGTTTGTGATAAACACCAGGAATGACCAGAGCCAGAGGGAAAAGCATATCTCCTTCTTCCCTTATGTTGTATGCCAGCTACCTGCCTTTGGGCAGGTGCAACACTCACAGCACCAATCCCTGTGCTAGACAACGAACCAATCACAAACTCTAGACTCAGCTGCCTTGAAAGGCCCACCTGCCATGACCACATAAGGCTTTGGGGGGACATTTAAACACAAACCATAACAAACATTCTGAGGAAATTACCCAGCAGGGGAGAGTGTGGGGTTGAATTTGTTAATAACCACACAGAACACTAAGCAGTGAACCATCAAGACAGTTGTTAACTTGAAGAGTTTATTTCCCTTTTGGTAATTCTTGGGAACCACAGATCAAAGTCAAAAGCCTGGGTGCTTACAGGGTTACTAGTGAAGCAAATTATTGAGTAGGAGGAAAAAAGTAATTATAGTGATGGCTTGATTCAGCTGTGAATAGTGAATTATAATAATGTAAAACAAGAGTATTGATCTCACCAAAAATTATAATGTAACTGCAGAAAGGATGCAAACAGGCATGGATGAATGATGAGGCAAGGAGGTTGGAAGAGAGGTTAATCTTCATTTTCCAGACTAGAAAGTCAGTGGTAATCTATAAAACTGAGAAATCAGTAAGTAGCACTTTATTAGCAAAATGGACATAACCCTCAAAGACTCAGCTCTGAGAGTTGATTTTTTGGGGCAACAGGAGATACAGGACTAGACTTTTTCACACATGAGCATATACCTGTAATTTTGGTAAACCGAAGCTGATTTTATAAGATTGATGTTGAGTTTTCATTTTTGACAGAGACAATCAGTGACTGTCCCATTTGAAGGGATCCTCATTATTCTCAGCTTCTGAGACCCAGGAGACAGGTTTCCATTTAATATTTGGAAAACATTGCCAGCCTTGCCTACAGTGACTCTAACAGGCATGACTTCTAACATAAGCACCCTTAGGTGACACACGTAAACCAGTAACTATGTCATAGTAATAACGCATTGCAGAAAGTGTAACAGAAAACATGTTGAGACATCCCACACGCACAGCCAGGCTTTTCTCTCCAAGGCACTGTCCAGAGCCTATCATTTGTCTGCCATCGCTAAGCCAAACAACAAAGCTCAGTCGCAGGAAAATCGACTTTGTTCCTCCTGTTTTCTAATCTCATCAGTCCCACCCTTCTCCTTCCTTGTCAACGTGGCCTTCAGCCCAGTGTCGCAGTCCATCAGTTTGCTGCCCTCGAATATAAAGGACTATGTTAACCTACTTAAATAGAAAATTAAAATGACATTTGTATTTTGATATACTTGACTCTTCACCGTACTAAAATGGAGCATATTGCTACAGTATAATTTTCGTTTTGGCTAATAATGTCACCCAACAATCATGCTGCCTGGGGCAGACTGCCACGTACCCTACCAACACCAGTGCTTCAGCTGGGCCTGTGGTACTGGTCTGCCAGGACTCCAGCTTGTTCTCAGAGCTAAGTTGCCACTAGGTAAAGCCTAAGGAATTCAGCCCAGCTCTGTACAGAGCCCAGAGTCTCCTGCTGGCCTCAGAGCCAAGGAAATCTACAGGTTCCACACACCACAGCCTACACCGGGAACAGAATCAAGTCAGGAGACTGTAGAAAGAGTCACCTGTACAGTCACTTCCTCTTTTCTCCTCATCCCTAAACCTTTCTTTCTGCTGATGCAGTCTGCCTCCCTCCAGGGACAATTCCAGCACTGCCTCTAGCTCTCCCTGTTCTTTTCTGATCTCACCCAGAGTACACCCTGAATCCATTTTTAATGCCTGGAAAAAACACAGAAGTGCCAGATATTAGTGAATAGATGGTGTTCATATCCATCCTCCCGTCCCCCGTTCTCACAAGTTTTATAAAATTTTGGTCAGAGAGATATTCTGCTACAGTTTAGTGTGGTACCCCTCCTTATCCACATTTCTTTTTCTTTTTTTTTTTTTTTTTTTGTCTTTTTTGTCTTTTTCATTTTTATCGGTACCGGGGACTGAACTCACGACCGCCTGCTTGCAAGGCAGATGCTTATGCCGCTGAGCTAAATCCCCAGCCCCCCACATTTCATTTTCGATGGTGTCAGTTACCTGTGTTCCACAGAAGGAAGGATGAATACAGTAAGAGATACTTTGAGAGAGACCATATTCACATAACAGTTATAACAGCACAGTGTTGTAATTGTTGTATCTTATTTGTTATCTCTTACTGTGCCTATTTATAAATCAGACTTTATCATGCGTGTGTGCATATGTATATGGAACAAAGCATTAGCATATATAGGATTCGAGGTTTCAGACATTTACTGGGGGATCCATGGAATGTGTCCCCCATGAACTAGGGAGGCAATGGTATTATCATCAGTCATTTTCTTGCTATAGTTTGTGATTTATATTGCCTCCAAAAAAAGTTCCTAAGTATATGAAGCCAGATTACTGAGCAGATTGTCCATGAGTTTCATGCATATTAAAAATCTTTTGGACAGTGTGTAAAACAATGCCAGCATTTATAAAGAATGATGATGATACACTATTTGCTTCATATTCAGCATTTTTCCCTCTTACTCTCTTCTAAATTTACTTTGCTTCGACTTGCAAGTCAGTGATAATTATCAGTACTTGTGTAGTATGTAGTAAACCTTTTTGGGTCATAGACTCCAGGGTCTGTTTTGAAGATGGATATGTCTTACGGGTGAGTTGAGTTAGAAGTTGATGTGAAACCTCCTTTATTTAAAATTACAAAAAATATTAGGGTGAAGGTGCTGAGTGACTTATCTGGGTCTTCTAAAACTAATTTGTCTTTCTTCAGGAAATATTACGGAGAGAAGATCGGAATCTATTTTGCTTGGCTGGGCTATTACACACAGATGCTCCTCCTGGCAGCTGTAGTGGGGGTGGCCTGCTTTCTCTACGGATATTTCAGTCAAGAGAACTGTACATGGAGGTAACCTCAGTTTAATCCTTGTCACACTGAAAAGATGGTTAGACATAAAATTATTTTCAGGGTTTTAGACTGTTCTGGTAAAAAAAAAAAAAGCATTCATTGTCTGGATGATACATCCTTTGGTATAATAACCAAGCGAAACAGAAAAAATTTCTTCTCAGATAATCCAACTGGCCTCTGACAGGAATATTACCCCTAGGTAGCGCTCCCAATATTTTAAGACAATACTCTCTTTGTAAAAGAAAGGCCTGGTGGAGGACTGCCCTTGAACTTCTGGCCCCAGAGGAATGCTCCCGTCAGCTCTGCAGATGTGGCCAAAGAGCAGCTCAGAGTTTCAATGGGAAAACTGGCAAAGCTGGCATTTTTAGTTTTCAGCAACGGCTTCCCAATCTGTATTAAGACTGTGTGTTTAACAACGCAAATAACCAGTCATTGCTTTGTTTCTTTGCTCTTAAAATATTATTCAGTGCAATGTCAGAGGAAAAATAAATGACAGCTGATTTATGTTTCACGCTAGACTTCAGAGCCCAGCTGCACCATCTAAAGGGAGGTCCCTGCTTGCCAGTGCGCTCCGAGTTCACCGTCATGTTCTGAATCGCTCTATCATTGCCCTGCTTTTGGTTGTCTTCCCCTGCAGAAGGCTTGTAGCAATGCACCAGACAGTTCTCTCTTGATCGTCTGGCCTCTTCCCAGATGTGACAGCCAGATAAAACTTTTGGGGCACCAGCAATTACTCGATGACCAAAATTTTCCAGCCCTGTGTATATCATTCTGGCATCTGAGGCAGCATATTTCCACAGCAGCCCTGACGCACAGGCACAATTCCCCATCCCATTTAGCAGAAGATTCTGAACCTTTTGTGCCATTATTTTTTGACTGAAAAGCCGCAGATGGCTTTTGAAGTACTTTACCCTTTTCTCTGAAAATGAGTTTTGAGCCAAAGGCTTAATGTTGACACCTTTTCCCCGAATTTCTCTTCAGCATCTTCATTTTTTTCTGTACCATCCCAGATTAAAACAACAACAAAGGCATCTGAAAAATAAATTGTCAGAGTGAAAAATTTACATTTTTATAAGGATCTCAAGTGGTTGTTCTTATTACAACTCATTTTACGAAATCACCATGATAGCCACATGGCACATAGTTCCTGCCATTTCACACGGATTAGTTTACAGCAAATGGAGGGAGGGGGTTGGGGATTTTTACTCCCTGTGATCAAAACGGTTTGGCTTTAATTATTAAATAGCTTTAAAATGTTTAGAAGACATGAATTTTAAATATTTTCAGTTCTGCTCTATACTTAGTAGATTCTCAGCAATAGACAATATTTTAAACATGTAAGGAATAATGACCTATCACCGAGTTTAAGAAAACTAAATCAGATATGGTGGCACATGCTTATAATCCCAATACTCTGGGAGGCTGAGACAGGAGCACTGCATGTGCAAGCTCTGGGCTCAGTCTCCAGGCGATAAAGGGACGGGGAAGAGGTGGAGGTCTCCTTTTCTACTTCAGAAAGATTTACTGTACTACATTTTTTATTTAAATTCCTTTGTAATTCTCTTAAAAATATATTAAATTTTGTGTGGCTTTGAAAACATGTATATACGTGTATAAGTGGAAAATACTACAGGTATTTCTTTCTCTAAAGAATGCCTAAGGTTTATATCCTTTTTTAAAAAAGATTTATTGAGATATAAATCATGTAGTATACATGTGCCTATCTAAACTATGAAGTTCCGTACACTGTAAGTGTACTCACAGACTTTTGCAGCCATCATCACCACCTAATTATAGAATATTTCATCTCCCTAGTTTTAGAACATTTCAAAAGAAACCACTGCCCATTAGCAGTCCTCTTGTCCTAACCCCTTTTCCCTTAGCCCTTGGCAACCACTAATCTGCATTGCATTTCTGTGGATTTGTCTATTTTGTGCATTTCGTGAAAGTGGAACTATAGCAGTATGTGGTCTTCAGTGACTTCTGCGTAGCATATTGTTTCAAGGTTTGTCCGTGTTGTAGCATTTACCAGTGTTTCATTCCTTTTGCAGCCAAATAATATTGTACTATATAGCTATGTCATGCTGTCTACCTGTGCATCAGTGGACAGTGGGGTTGCTAACATGCTTTGGTATTATGAATAATTCTCTTGGGACTGTTCATTGATAAGTTTTTATGGAGACACATGGTTTCAGATCTCTTGAAACTATAATAAAAAATGGATATTACTCCATGATATCCTGTGCTTAATGTGTTTTGAGGAACTACCCAAATGTTTTCCAAAGGAACTGCACCGTTTTACCTTGCTATCAACCATGTGTGAGGATTCCAGTTTCGCCACATTCCAATCAGTATGGTTTTTGTTTTTTAATATTAATCATCCTCATTGGTGTGAAGTGGTCCATTGCTGATTTTTATTTTTCTCGTCAGTGATGTCAAACACCTTTTTGTGTACCGTCGTTAGCATAGCTTCTTTGGAAAGATACTTATTTAGCTCCTTTCCTACTTTATTTGTGTCATCTTCTTGTTGAATTGTGAACATTCTATACATATTGGGGGCAGCAGTCTCGGAGAGTATTGTCTTACTCTGCTTGGGCTGCTATAGCCGAGTGCCATAGATTGGAAGAGAAATTTATTTCTCACAGTTGCAGAGGCTGGAAGTTAAAGATTAAGGTACCAGGGTTTGGTGTTGGGTGTGGGCTGCACACAGGAAGGAATCCTGTGTCCTCACATCTAAAAGGCAGAGGGCCAAACTCTGTCAGCTCCTCTGCAGTCGCGTTAGTAAAGGAAAGGGTACTCACAGTACTCAGTACTGTTACACAGGTAGCACTGGGGGTTCAGAGGAAACACATTCAAACCACAGCAGATACATTAAAAATATTCTTTCCCAGTCTTTTAAGTGCTTAATTTTTTCCCCCACTTTCTTAGTGTATCTTTTGATGCACAGTAAATTTTCATGTTTATGGCATCTAGTTTACCTGTTTTTTTTTCCCCTTTGGTTATGTGTGCTTTTAGTATCATATTTATAAATTAGAAATCCAGAGTCATGAAGATTTTCCGTGTTTATCTGCTAAGAGTCTAGTAATTTTAGATCAGTGATTCAGTGTGAGCTCAATTTTGTAAATAGTAGGAAGCGGGGGCCCAGCTCTGTGGTCTTGGTGTGCATATCCAGACGTCCCACCTGATCTGTGAAAAGTTTCTTTCCCCTGTTGAATTGTTCTGGCATACTTACTGAATTTCAGTCTCCCTAGGCATGGGAGTGTATTCTCAGTTCTTTTCCAGCTATCAGCAGTCAGTCCTTTATGTAAATGCCACACTGTATTATTACTGTACTTTGTTTTGTAGTAAATTTTGAAATTAGAAACTTCCAAGTTTTGTCTTCTTTTTAAAAATTATCTTGGCTCTTCTACATTTCCACTCAGTCTTTATTGACTGCTTGGTTCTCTCTGGTTTAGGGCCAAACTCTTCCATTTCTTGTAGTTTTTATGTTGAGAATTTAGCATTTTAAACATTATAAGATAGTAAATATGGAAATCAGATTTTTCCTTCTCCTTGGGGTTTGTAGTTACCTTTATTCTCTGTTTTTTTCTGCTGCTGTTTTTTGTTTGGTTTCTTCCCTGGGATTAGTATTGGGATTGAACTCAGGACCTTTGCACTGAGCTACATTCCTTGTCCTTTTTTATTTTTTATTTTGATACAGAGCCTCACTAAGTTGCTAAATTGCATAGCCTGGACTCAAATTTGCTATCCTCCTGCCTCAGCCTTGCAAGTGCTGGGATTATATGACATTCTTTCAAAAAATCTTAACTATGTCAGTATTTTCCTTTATGGCTTATGCTTTGTGGTTTCATATTTATGAAATTTCTCCTTATCCTAAGGTCAGTAGCCATCCTGTCTGTTGCTAATGAGTTGGCACTCTTGGCATTCTCATTTTCCACCTAGGATTGGTTTGTGTGTGATAGGATGTTTAATCTCATGTTTTTTCAGACGGGTATTCTCTCATTGAAATGTCAGTGCTCAGCTTAGTGATTTGCTGCACCAGTTTAGCCCCAAGTCGATTTCTATGCAGGCAGGGATGTTTATTCTGTTCTGTTGGTTGTTTTTCTTAACCTATGCCACTACTTTAGGACTTTTTGACTGTTGTAAGCTTTTGTTCCTCTGTAAATTTATAACTCACGTGGAAGAGATAGGATGTCTTTATTGAGTCTTCCAAATTATAAATAGTATAAGGCCTTCACTGTCTTTTGAACAGTTTTAAATTTTTGTCGTATAAATCTGAAGACCTCTTGAACTGAATTTATCCCTGAACTTTTTAAGCTATAGAAAATAGCATTTTAAAATTATTTCCTAATTATGGCAGGTGCATAAAGACACATTTCCTTTTTCTGTGTCTGAATATATTTTGTATATTGATTTGGTGTTCAGCAAACTACTAAGCACATTAATTCTAATAATTATTAAATTTCCTTGAGTGTTCTACAGAGACAATCATATAATCTATTAGTAATTAAAGTTTTCTTACCCAGGTGTGGTGATTCATACATGTAATTCCATTACTCTGGGAGGCTGAAGCAGGAGAATTGCAAGCTCAAACTCACCCTGGACCACATAGTGACTTAGTGAGACTCTGTCTCAATATAAAAAATATTTTAAAAGGGCTGGGAATGTAGTGTAGTGCAAATACCCTGGGATCAATCCTGAATGCCACACAAAAATTTTTTTTCTTTCTAATTTGCATGGTTTTATTTATTGTGCTGGGAGGGGCCTCCAACTAAAAAGCAGTGCTGAGAATAGTGCCGTTTGTCATATTCCTAGCTAGAAGAAATATTTTCAACATTTACTATTATATATGATTTTTATAGATTTTATGTAGCAAACTTTTATCAGGCTAATGCAGTTTTCTTTTGCTAGTTTTATAAAAATATGGTTTAGTTTCTTATGAATGGACATTAGATTTTATGCTGTTCTAAGAAGTTCTTTTCATTAAAATTTTTACGTTTTTACTTCTCTTTAGCAAAGAAGTTTGTAATCCTGATATTGGTGGCAATATCATAATGTGTCCTCAGTGTGATAAGCTTTGTCCATTCTGGAGACTCAATATTACCTGCGAGTCCTCAAAGGTAATTTTTGTGATCCTAAATATTTACACATAAATGAAATGTTTTCAGTTCTAACAATCACTTAAGTATAACACAGAAATTATATCTTTTTCTTCTGTGGAATTTGGGAAGGTATTTTTCAACTAAACTTACAGGCAGTCTGTGTTTATTCCTGTTTTATAAATAATAGGGATTAAGAGCCTTATCTAAACTCTCGTAGAGAGTCAGTAAGGATATGGTGGAATCGAAACAATATTTCAGGTAATCAGAACAAAGTCTCATACCCTGCTTATTTTATGAATACTTTTAATTAGATTCATTACTATAAGTATTTTCTTTAATTCAAGTGAATGGAAATCTAAAATTTGTACTTAGGAAAATTGTACTTGTGAAATTTGTGTTTGTCATTCAAAGTATGCTGAAACTATGCTTGAATTTTCAAAGACCTTGTTGGTCAGATTTTTGACTACATGTATAAATACAGGTATAGTTTGGATATAAGTAAGAAAAAGTGCTTGTCTCAAAACATTCTCAGAAAACACATTTAGCTCCCCTTATATATCCAGCTTGTAAAACCAGGAGGTTTATTACAGGAATTGAGATCAGAAGGAGCTTACTAAACAGCAGGCTGGAAATTCCAGAGTGGTGAAGGCCGGTGGTCAGCTTGCTTCAGGGCATCTTCCTGACAACTCTGACGTTCTCTTTCCTCTCATTGTGAGACCCTTGTCCTACCTTGAGAAATTAGCAATTAACATTGAGTCTAGAGCAGTCTGATCTACATATAAACTGATGCCAGCAAGATTATATATTTTATACTTTTTTTTTTTTTGTCTTTTTTTTTTGAGGTGAGGTCTCGCTATGCAGTTCAGGCTGGCTTTGAGCTCACTTTGTAGCCCACGCTGGTCTCGAACTCGCAACGATCCTCCCACCTCAGCCTCCCGAGTGCTGGAATTATATGCATGAGCCACCATGCCCAGCATATATTTTATACTTTACAGAGTTCCTGTACTGATGTTACTGCCTTTGATACATGTATCAATCCTGTGAGATAGGTAAAATAGAATATTTGCATTTTATAGATTAAGACACTGAAGATTTGAGAGATTAATACTCTTTTTAAGGTCAGCTACTGGCAACTGGCAAAATATTGGCAGTAAATCTTCATTTCTTGCCATTGCTGGGTTCCTTAACAGCTGACAGTGCTACCAAATCCAGACACTTAGCTCCCAAATCCAGATTTACCTTTGAAAACGTTTCACCACTTAATGAAGATGATTGCAGGGCATTGTCAATACTTTGATTTTGGGCTTTTTTTTTTTTCTTCTATTTTTGAATTAAAATAGACTGACTCCCTGCCCTACAACTACAAATATCTCTACTAGATTTCATAAAGTAAAAGACTTAAAAATGGTAAAAAGAAAGCTGCTTTCCAGTAGTGTTGGCTCAGAGTGAAGGTCACTAGTTGCACATCTGGAGGCCCTGAACTTAAGGCAAATGACAATGACAGTAATACGAGAGTCAGATTGCATTCTGAAAAAACAGAAGTGTAAGTTCACATCCCTTGAGCAGTTCTCCCTCACACTTCTCACCACAGCTGTTCTCTCATTTCTTCTGCTCCGTCCTTAGCGTATGATTTTCACATGTCTCTCTTTAAATTCTTCCCATTATTTTGGAAACTAATGAGTCCTTGGTTTTAGTCCAGTTTCGAAAGCTCTCTTAAATCTTGCCAGTGTGATTTACAAAGGGAGGAGACATATAAAAGAATATGGAAGAAAGGATGAAATGGAAAAGAAAGTTCAAGAGGGGGCACATTTTCTAGCTTTATAGTTTGTTGGTTAATTCATTTATTCCGTTCTTTGTTCATACATTTTTTTATGTAATTTGTACCTCTTTCTTTTTGAAAGAGACAGAGTAACTACTAATTCATATGTATACTAGAAGGATTAATCAAACTACAAATAGTAATATAAAGTCAGGACCAAGGAAATAAAGAAACACTATGCAAACAATAGGAGAGAAGCTTTTTACTGTGATTTCACATTGAAAAAGGATTTTAGCTTTGTAACTAGCATGATAAAAGGAAAACAGCAAATTCTAATGTTTTGCTCTTAGAAGTACATTGTTACAAATTTTTTTATTCCTTTGAAGAAAGGCAGCATACCACAGAGTCATCATGCCTTCACTTGCAGCATCCTCTGTTTCCCCTGCTCCGTGTGACTCAGACAGTATCCTGACTCAGGGCTGCTCTTCCCCTGCTGCCCTGCCCTCCCCTCTGTTGCTGTTTGGCCAAACAGGCCAAGGGGCTTCCTTCAGAAAGCCTCTTGCTTGCTTGCTTCCCTTCTTTCCCTTCCTCTAGGGCTCTCGTGGGACACAGAGCAGAGAAGTGAAACATCTTACTCTGGCTTCTTGATTCTTACACATGTTGCAAGAATTTCAATCTCATCCAGGCCTCACTGCCTCTCCTACGAGTGCAAAGCCTGTCACTCACCTCGAGCTGTGCAGCCAGGGTGATCTTGGCAGTCATCGTCCATTTACTGTTCCTCAGCACTTGTTTTTCTCTCTGCCCCAGACAGGTACATTTCCATTGAATTTCCCAAAGAGTAGAGCTGAGGTTTCACACACAGTAATTTTATTTCCAGAGTGGGTGTGCAGAAGTGTCAGGGCAAATAGGGAGATATCAGAGAGAGAAAGGGTTGCAGGGTTGCCCTCATTCCTAAAATAGGAATGACATCAGAGGAGATCTTTAATTTATAAGATGCAAGAGCTGTTTTTCATAGGATTTTTCTTATAATTTAAAATAAAGGTGAAAGCACCACGTTAAAAGACGACTTGGAGAAGATGATTCTATAAGAATCAAAACTAAAAAATTTGAAGTATGTGCTTTATAGAATCCCAAGACTAGGGAGTGGGTGGAGAGCATTCTTCCCCTAGAGCAGTCATGCATTTATGAATTCCGCCTTCCTTGAGCTGGATTTTGTAAAAGAATAGTTGAATGAAGCAATTTAGGATCATGCTCTCTGGTCAAGATAAATGTGAATGATCAAGGGGACATTTACATGCTTTGGAAACCAGATGGAAAAGAAGATGAGTAGACTTTTCCTTTTGAATAAAGATAACTTGACTAGTGTTTTTCTATAGATACCAGTTTACCCGCTCTATATGAGTATAAAGGACAACCCAAAAACTTACCTTAAACAAAGCAGCCTGACTTTTCTTTAGCATCTGTAAAGTTTGCTTTTTTCACCCTTAGCTGCTGCTTCTACCCAATCCGCATCTTTACGTTGCATATGATCTTCCATAAAGTAGACATGTTTGCGACTTTTGCTTTTGTCTTTAGTTTTAAGAAGTGTAAAAACACTTGTTGATTAAAAGGTTTGCAACCAATTGAAAGATCTCCCCAAAAGTCATAGATGGGCATGGGCTGTTTATGTACCAGTACTAGCAAAGAAACCAAAACATAGTATTCTCCTATTATTGTCATGAAATTTTGGCTTTTTTTCCCCATAAAGTAAAAATAATATTTTTATGACAAATGAAAATTTCATGAAATTTAAATTGCAAGGCCAATAAATAAAGCTTTATTAGACATGTACACACACCACAAAAGAAGCTGGTCTTAACAGAACCAAAGAATAGGCCCTTCTCGGGCTGTATATAAAATGCCTGTGTAATTTATCAGTTGTGATGGTTGTAATGTTAAAGAAAGCACTTGTGTGTCCTTAATGCCAACAAAAGCATCTGCTGGCCACAAGATAAAAGCCACCCTTGGGTTTGAGGAAACTGGGCTCTTCTGGAGGAGAGCCATCTCCACATAAACATGGCTCTGTACTTCTTTTAATAAGAAAAGTAGGAATTCTAGAACTTGCTCCTTTGAGAAGGGTAAAGTGACGATAAGATGCAGATCATAAATCTAAAAGTTGCTTACCAGCCCTTCTGTTATTACAGCCACTGTATTCCCTACATTCATCTGACAGCTCATAGAGGGGCCATTTCTCGGTCCTGAAAGGCTTTAAACAGAGTGCGATCTTAATAGATGCACCTGTTTTCTTTATCAAGCTATGAAGATTCCATTGGAAGATGCATTTGGTTAACACAGCAAAGGCTGCTTGCTTTTCAAACAATAAGAAATTCTACCTGTAAGTTTATATACATATAATAATTGTTAAACTAGGTGTTACCTTTGAAAGAAACAGGCTGCATATATAAGACATTGCATATTTAATTAAGTCTGATGAGTGAAGAACTTGATTCGTTTACATGTTATTATTTTCCAGAAATTGTGCATCTTTGACAGTTTTGGAACTCTAGTCTTTGCGGTATTTATGGGAATATGGGGTAAGTTTTCGTTTTTATACATTCAATTTAATAGTATTGCAGTTTTATACAGACCCTCAAACAACCCATTTGTAAGACCTTGTGTTACCTAAGTTTCACTAGAGCTTGCTTCATTTATGATTTCGAGGCCATTATATCATTTAGCTTTTACAGCTTTCAAAGTATACCTTCAAATGGTAGTGGCTTAAAACATTATTAAACCCTGTTGCTCATTTTACTGTTTCCACGATTCTGTGGGTCAGCTGAAAGGTTTTTCCAGCATGGAGTGGCTCAGTGATCTCTATAGTGAGCTGGGGCTCCACTAGGGTACATGAACTGACAGCTAGAAGCTTGGATTGGTCTGTGAGGCTCAACTGAAAAGCATCTTCTCTGCTCCACAGGTCGCAAAAATAGACTAGCGTGCATGGATTCAGGGTTCCAGAGAGAAACAGGACATGACAGGCCCTAAGGCAAAGGCATTTTTAAACATATAGTTGCATCACGGTAGCTAATGTGACATCAACCAAAGCAGATCATACGGCCAAGCCAGCATCAGTATGAGATGAAGGATGGAGGACCACCAGAGTGCTTGGGTTCAGGAGTGTGATTCGTTCTTTGGAAGTTATTACGCATAAAGTATACCTTACCTGTAGTGCTTTGGACTGAAAATGTTTCAGTCTTTTCATATTTTGGAATATTTGTATAGATTACCAGTTGAGCATCCATAATCCAAAAATCTAAAATCTAAAATGCTCCAATATCTGAAGTATTTCGAGTATATTATATCAGCACTCAAAATTTTCAGAGTTTGAAGCATTTCAGATTTTTGGGCCTATATTTTTAACTGTCCCTGTAGCTGTGATCCCGTCTAACTTGTGGGAGTAAGGATGGGGAAGAAGTAACTATGCAGGGATATTAGGAGAGCTTTCTTCTTTTTTACACTTCTGTATGAATGACAGCATCCTAAGTATGTCGTTTATAACACAAATTCTGTATAGTAAACAAATACAATCCTAAAGAACGTAAGTCCTGTGTAGGAACCTGAATACTATGTTTATGTTTTTGATTTTGTATAGGATTGTTAATTTAATTATGCAATTATTTTCTTTACATGTAGACTCTTAAGTGTTTAATCACTGTAAATATTCTAACCATAGAAGAAAAATTCACCTTTTCAGAGATGAACATATTTCCCCTTTTGTCCTGTACAGAAAGGTATAATAGAGTTCAGGTTAAAGAAAAGTGGGAGAAAGAACTGACTCAAGTTTCTTAAAAAGAAGAAACATCAATCCATGCAACTTGTAGAAAGGCTCACTGCCAGGTATCTTCAGCAGTCTGCCTCTTGTGGAATGGTCACCAAATGGATCAGTGAGCAGACAAAATCCAGTGACTGGACACTTTAGAGATGCCATTCCTGGATAAAGGGAACTGTAAAGCTGGCAGACTTACTTGATAAGTGACAGTGTCATTAAAATATTTTCAGTGTTTTTGCTGGAGACCATGCTGTAGTATAATTTGACACATGAAGACCAGACTTTTATATTCAAAGCCCCATAACCCTATACTGTAAAGTACATCTTTTTTTTTACATAAGAACTCAGGTGCTGAACACAGGGTTCAGCGTTTTTAACTGTGGGCTTACAGTTTCAGCTCTGATTTGTAATCTGTGTGACTGATTCAGCACATCTGTTAAACTGTGTTACACTAATGAATGCTCATTGCAAAATAAAAAAAAACATTTTAAGCAAAAAATATACATTAATTTTGCTAAGACAGACCTCGTATTTCATACTAACCTTCCTTTTCTCTGGGCACTAAATATTCCAAGTTTATAGAGCTTCCTTTTGCACTGGGCTAATTTTATTTTGAGTGATTTTTAGAATGCAGAAAACAGTGCTGTACAGACTGTAGCATCATACGCAACTCTTTAAGCACAACATCTAGATGATGAACTCTTTTAAGTACTGTCTGTGGCTTTCCTTGTTGCTGCCTTATGAGAACTACTGCTGTGAACCTCGTTACAGAAAGTCTGAGGCTGCAGAACCCAGCCAGTGGGAGACTCATGTGAAGTTATTCATACAATCACCTTCATATTCTTGCAGTGTCTCTTTTATCTCAGATGGATGTGGCACTTAGGATGTTTTTACCCTCACTAGAGATGATAAAAATTGAGGGTAGAAAACCATTTAAGAAAAATATAGTAAAAATCATGTACTGGTATGAAAAAGTCCTCTTTTTTAGGTCAAACCAGCTGTCCAGTCTTACTGACTCAGGGAGGGCTGAACACAGCCCATGGTTGTAGTAAAGATTCTGAACATACTCACTCTCCCCACGCCTTGTTGCTTCTTAACAACTTCCACTTGAGTCTCCGTGGCTCAGCCTCTTGGCCGCATGGACTAGAGTTTTTCATTTTTGTATCTGAGGGCTGAGTGATAAATAGGCCCTAGTAATTTCCATAAAAAGAGCTGGGACTCCTGGCTCACTAAGGATCGTGGATCTGGAAACCCCACTGGCTCCACGTGGATCGGGAACTGGCTGTAGCGACTGTTCTTCCAGACCTGAGCTGTTCCCGGGGGTCCGCAGCAGCAAAATAACACAGTGCCTGCTGCCCCGCCTTTGCCTCCATTTAAGCCAGTTTTTAATTTTGGTGAGACACAGATGTGTCTGACGGTCATTTTAAGAGTCGCATCTGAACTAGCTGTGAGAGAGGCTGAGAAATGTCATTTCTAACCTCCTTCAATTTAGTGAAGCACAGTAAAGACTGAGTGAGTTAAGCTACCTCGTAGACCTGTGTAAGTGATGAGGTCTGGAGAGTTTCAAGGCCTGTAAAAGCACCCTAGATCTTCGGAAGTAGACTGTGGTAATGAGAACACTCACAGCTCCCAGAGCACAGCAGGACATAACACCACCGACAGTGTGCTGCTGTCATCTCTTTTTTTGTATATGGGCATCTTCTTCATCTGATTCCTATTTTGTCTCTCTGTGTCTCTGTCTCTGTCTCTCTGTTTGTCTGTCTGTCTGTCTGTCTGTCTGTCTCTCTCTCTCTCTCTTTCTGTCTCTCTGTATGTGGTTCAGGCTGACTTTGAACTCACTAAGTAGCCCAGCTGATCAGCAGTTCTCCTTCATCACGCTCCTGAATGCTGGAATTCCAGGCCTGTGCCTCCACACCCAGGCCTGTTTTCCTTAGATCTAATAATAACCTGATTGGGAGAAGCTGCTTTTTACTCCCAGGATCCAAACCACCCTCTCTTTTACATGTGATACGAGAGTTTAACTCACTGACTAGAGCTTCAACCATAGTATGTGATTTGCCAGAGAATTAGAGAGCAGCACCCTCTGCCCCCGGAGTTCTACCAGTTGTCTTATTGCAGAGACAGGGAGCAAAAGACACACAACTCCTGTCTGTGATCACGTGCAGTTGGCCCTTGTCCCAGGGCATTCTGTGTGGGACATGCATGTCGGTCCAGCCCACTGTGGTCTGAGTACATGCCCTAAACACTCGGTGAGGTGCTAGGTAACCAGTGCCTTCCACAGACTCCCTCAGAGTCCTCGCCTGTAAGTGATATGAGGAACCAAACTCCCACCCGTTAGAAGTCCCAGGGGTTTTGTTTTCAAGGCTGAGAATTGCTAACGAAACCATGACATTTCTTGCTTACAGTGCAGTCTTACCACTTATGAGAAAAATGACCCAGAAACTTAGTAAACATCAACCATTTTGCCTTTATGTTCTAGTTCTGGGAGAAAGAAGAGTAACCACTATTCTTTCATAATAATAGCGTTAATTTGAATTGCTTAGCTTGCTATTTTTGTGGGGGAAAAGCAGTTTATTTTCATGAGTCATCTGTTGATACAGTTTCTAGATATGAGCAAATGATATAATTTTAAAGGCTGGGAAAATGGCAAGTAAATTAAACAAATTATCTAAGGCCCCATACACAGCAACAAGCATAGAATAAGAAATGAGCCCTGCAAATAATTTGACTGGATTCATGATAAAATGTGATGTATATTAATAAATTCATAGCAAGTTTTGGAAAGGTGAAAAAATATTTATTTTGATTGATGAAATAGCGCTATTTTGTTTGGAGCTATAAAAAATAGAAATGATTTAGGAAATGTCATTTCTATCTCTTTGGATCTATATCATCTCACATGGGTATTGACCTCTCTGTAACACAAACAAGATGTCACCAGTCTTCTGGCATAATTTCAATAGGTTTATGAGTACTGATTTCATTTATGAATACAGGTTTTGTATTAGTCTATTTGCCATTGCTATAGCAAAATACTCGAAGCTGGGTAATTGATAAAGAACTTTATTTAGCTCTCAGTTTTGGACATTCAGGAGTGTGGTACACCATTGGTCTAGCTCTGATGAGGATATTTTTGGCTATGTCACATGGCAGATAGCATCCTCACAGGAGTTTATGTGAGGAAGATCCCATAGCAAGACAGGGAGCCAGGTACTAGGGGAGGGACCAGTCTTGCTCTTTTTTAATAACCTACTCCCTCATACACTAACTGGGGTCCTGTGAGAACCACATAATAACTTCCAAGGCAATATCCCCAACACCTGAATCACCTCTCACAAGGCCTCACTTCTCAAGAATTCCACCAGTTCCCAACATCAGCACCCAGAGGGCAAAGTTTGGAATGCACAGACCCTGCAGGTACACTCTCAGACACACCCAACCATAGCAGGTGCCAAAGTGCAACAGGGTTTTAATGTCCTGAATCAAAGTTTCCTTTGAAATATAGTTAGGCTCAGAGAGTATGTCTGTGACATCTGTGATGCAGAAAAGTGCGTGTGGTGATTCTGGTAGTCTGTCTCCCCCGGATTCTGTTCAGCAGCCAAGACTTGAGAACTGACCATGATGTCACCAGTAAACTGTCAGATCCCCCATGGTGTATACTCTCCACCTCAGGTTAGCCAGACTTTTGCTGGCTACGGGGTTAGCCAGACCTTTTCTTGAGAACCAAAGGAGACTGGTATAGCCAAGAGTGATTGAAAGTAGATGTCACCTGCAGAGGGAAGCAGTTGGCATCAGTTGCAACCTCTGAGTGGACAGTTTCCCAACTACTAGGGCTCCTTTTTAGCATCTGGTGTGGTTTTTTAAATTTGTTCATTCACTGTATGCATTACATTCCCACCACGTGGTACAGCTTTGGCTTTGAACAAGCAAAATCAGTGCTCACATGAAGGTGACATTCTCTTTATTCCTTTTTTTTTTTTTTTTTTTTTTTTTTTGGTCGTCTTTTTCCTTTTTATTGGTACTGGGAATTGAACTCACAAGTGCCTGCTTGCAAGGCAGAGGCTTATGCCACTGAGCTAAATCCCCAGCCCCTAAAGGTGACATTCTTGAGGGCGTGATAGACATTCTAGTAGCAGATACAGATCAGGACACATGCCTGCTGCATATGTTGATGAGCAGAGAGGGGCCGATAGTGAATAAATTACACTTTTTAAAAAGAAAACATACAGCTATCACTGGAATGATGTCATTATTATGGGGGCAGAGTTGAGAGAAGTTTTGGGATGGGGACATACGCAATACTAGCAGTAGAGTTCTCGGATAAATTGTGAGGCCTTCTGTTCGATGGAAACACACAGGCGTTTGCCAAGGAAATATACAGTGTAGGGAGCTTTAGTAAATGGGCAGCATGTGTTACACTGGTTTGTCTGCGGCCCTCAGTGGTTGCTCATGAGTACTTTGTCCCACCCGGCAGGAGTCTTTCGGAGAGTATCTGACATGTGAGGCCAGCGTGGCTCAGGTGGGCAGCAAGATTGTGTCATACTGTGGCCCCTTAAGATTTGCCTCCCACTGGAAAGGTTGGTTCCATCATTTCCCCAGGGACAGGCACAGGGACGTGAATGACTAGGAGACCTTTAGTTATAGGGTCATCACTCTGTTCACTGTATACAATTTGAGCCTGATTCCAACCTACAGGTTATCTCTACTCTCCCTTACTGTTACGGAGTAAAAATGTATCGAAAACACAGCTGGAAAGTGGGTGCTTTTAAACACTTCAGTTGTCCTCCCTGTTGGGGAGTGTTGGATTGTGCTCTTCAGAGCTGCACCCCAGGATTCCTTCCTGCCTGGGCTCAGTATTTTTAAAAACTTCCCCGAGTACTGCTTGTGTGCAGCCAGGGTGAGAACTAGCAATTCTGAGATAGCTGCTCCACTCCAAGTCAGACTGCCCTGACACAACAGTGAAAACTGGCTCCGCCCAGTTCTCCACCCCGCGTTCTTTGCTGAGCACCTGCCCACTGGACATCTCTCCTTGAGTAGCCCCCAGACCTCTGACCGTACTGAGCCTGTTATCTTTCCCCTCATATTTGCTGCTCTTAACTGACGTAGAATGAAAGGCCAGCACCCTAGACCTCTTCCTGCCTCTTCCGTCCTACCTGTGTCTCATCAGTCTTGCTGCTCACCCTTGCTCAGAGATGCTGCCGTATGATGTTTTACCTGCCAGCAGGTCTCCCTGCCTCACGGTAGAACCCCAACGTCACCCCCTCCTTGATGCCAAAACCCTCACTTCTGAGGCACATTGGGCCCTGCTACATCTCCACGAGGACCTCCCATCCAGCCGCCACATCCTTCTCTGGCTTTCTTCTCCTTTTGTGTGCAGTCCCACCTACTACCATTTACATTTGATCAGCTCAGGAGTCACCTCATAGTTCGTCATAGTGGTCCCCGCCTCTAGGGAAGGCCTTCCCCACTGGGGCCGTGGCCCGGAGCAATCTGCGCTAATGTTTGTTTACTGGACTCATGTACTCCTCTGCCTAGGTGCTCCCTGAAGCACAGACTGCCTGCCTCATTTGTTAACAGCCCATGGTAGACTCCTGAGAAATATTTATGAATAGATGAGTGCTAATTCCAGAATTTCTACTGAGAAAGGACTTAGGAATAACAACCTGATTGAAAGGCTCTAGGGAACTTACTCTAAACCTGCACCTTCCATTAACATGCAATGTTTTCATTTGATATTTTGAGCTACATGTTCTAAAAAATGAGTGCCAAAAATTATTTTTCATACTTAGGTTGAGAGAAATACCTGTTTTATGTTAAGAGAATATTAATTGATTTGGAGAGTATTAAAACATTCCCTTCTCCTCCAGGCTCTTAGGAAGAAAGGGAAGAGCAAGACAGAGAGGACATGGGGGAAAATAGATAGAATGGTAGACCCTGGTCTGCTTTTGAATGATAAGGTGTTTGTGTTTTTAGTTGGCAAGGAAGTGCTAGTAGCAGGGCATTTGTGTCAGCATCTAGACCCTTCCACAATTCCCTTTCCCATAAACTATGTCTGTTTTATAAATTATGTGAATTATCAATGTTTTCTTATAAAAATCATTTTTAAAGTATCGCTTGCCCATTGGATTCTGTTTACCATATACAGAAGTATTATGTGTAATTCAGTGTGGATTTCAGTGTGGACCTCAGTCATCATTAAAGATCATTTGATCCTGGTTTCTCCCTTCATTAGTTACTTTGTTTTTGGAGTTCTGGAAGCGTCGCCAGGCAGAGCTGGAGTATGAATGGGATACTGTTGAGTTTCAGCAGGAAGAACAAGCCCGACCAGAATATGAAGCACAGTGTACACATACAGTGATAAATGAGATTACTCAGGTAAGAAGGATGTGATTGGATGCCATTAGTGTATTTACTGCATGGTTCTCGACCTTGGCTGCACATTGGAATTACTTTGGAATATTGAAAACTCCTGGTGTCTGAATTCCATTACTGCACACTCCGAGGCTAGTAGCTGGCATGTGTTTTTGGGCATAGAGTTATTCCTTTGGTCTTTGGTTTTTGTAGCTTCTCTGGTGATTCTAATGTACAAGCCAAGGTGAAGAAACACTGCTTAAAACAGTAAATGTGGGGCCGGAGATCCCCGTACCAAAAAAAAAAAAAAAACAGTAAACAGTGGAAACAAATATTGCCCCTTCTTTGGTAGTAAAGGTAACAATGCCTCCCTCAAAACTACACTGAGTTTGCTGTATAAAGCAAAATGCATTGGTTTTTAATGCTGATTCTTAGTTTATCACATGACCTTCGAGACAGTCCCTTAGCCATCCTAAACTGCTGACCTTTAATCTTGCACTAAGCCTCAGTCACTGCTCCACCTTCTGGTTGAGATGTGCACACAATAGTGTGGCTATTATCCTAAAGTCAAGGAAAAAAGGATAGATGAGGGTCTGACGAAGTTCCAGCTGTGCTAAGCATTTTATGTCATTGGAAAAGTAGGTTTGCTCCAGCTGCTACTACTGCTGTAAAAATAAAATCATAAATCTGTATATATGCCAAAGCCTCCAAAAGGTGATTTTTGAATCTCCTGCATTAATTGCTTTCCATCAACACAGGAAATTTAGAGCTGATTGTGCTTGCAGTCATCAGCATAAGGAGAGTGGTTTCCAAATACAAATCACTCTTGGAAAGCAAGTGCTTTTACCAAGAGCAGCTGAGACCATCCCCAACTATAGATTTCATAAACTGAATCACAGATTTATAGAATGTCGGCACTGAAAGGCACTGGAGGGAGCAGTTCAAACTCTTCATTTTGTAAATGGAAAAAGAAATGAGGTTCAGTTATGACTAGAAGGTGACATTTATCTCTTACAATGTAACAAGATTCAAGTGATTCCCATTACATATAGTTACAACAGTTTACCAGAGAAGATGGTCAAAGCATGTGTTGTTAAAAAAGTATATATTCTCAAGAATGAAAGCTGACAAAAAACAAACCAAAACAAAGAAAAAGAATGAAGGCTAAAACTTAGATAAAATTAAATGTTCATAAAGAGTTTTGGCTAAGAAGGGAGGCTTACAGTATCAGTAACATAGAAAAACACTACAGAAGAGATCATTTGTTTTATCCTTTCTTGATAGTTAAAAGTTCCAACCAATACATTAGCTAAATTTTCACCGAAATGTTACTTGTTAAGAAATTGCAAATGAAGAGTCAGTTTTCTATATATTTTTCTTCCTCATTTCACTCCTGTTGCTAATATATCCTCTTCTGGTTTAAAGAGACGGGAAAGGTGTGATTTCCAAAGTCTCAAGAATGAGATTGCCTGAGTGCGTTTGTGAGCAAGCTGTGTGAGCTTGGACAAATTATTTAATCATTGTCTATGTCTCAGTTGCCTTTTCTACAAAACTGGACTCTTAGAGTTGCTTTCATGTTGTTGTTGTGAGGATTAACTAAGTTTATGTATGAAACCCACTTGGAACAATACTTAGCACAGAGTGGATGCCAGGTCAGTATCTGCAGCTGTTACTGTGTTCTAGGTACTCTTTACCATTCAGGTTAGATTTCTTCTCTTAAGACTCTTAAGTCTGTTCTTATAAACTATAAATTGGAAACTGTCTTAACATATAAAGCTCAATAAAGAAGCAGATATTTGTTTGCTAGTATTTATAGGCATCCATGAATTTTATTTTTTATTTTTTTGCCTGGGCTCTGGGCTCTGTGCTAGCAGCACAGTCCCTTCTAAAACCCAAGACAGGCCCAGGAATGCCACTTTACAGTGTGGCATCAGCAGATACCGAGACTCCTGAGCTTAGCTCATAGTGGATAACAGTTTGCTACTTGCACTTGTATTTTAAAAAAACATTAAAATAAACACAGCACATGTCATGTGCCTGTTTGAGATTATTAAAAATGTGCATTTATAAGGAAGGAGACTGTGGTTGCAAACTAACTGAACCCTAAGATTTACTGGCAGATGAGAAAAATAATTGTGTGGGCGTACTCCCTTGATGGACTGAACTCTTTGTATACATTAGGAGGAAGAGCGCATCCCCTTCACCGCCTGTGGGAAGTGCATCCGGATGACCCTCTGTGCCAGTGCCGTCTTTTTCTGGGTAAGACCCAATCACAACTATTTTTTTGAGTAATTTTTGAATTGGTTATATAAAAATATAGTCAAGATAAGATCTTAAATACCAAGGAAATAAAGTCATGCCTGGAACTCTGTGGTCTCAGAGAGTACATGGGAGCAGGAGAGTGCTGTATCCAGAGAGCTATGTTATCACCTGTTGTTCGCTGGACTGATTCTTAAAGTTCTGAGGGCTGTCTGTGTTCAGGGCGCTTCTCCCAGGTCTTGGCACCTCCCAAGTTTAAATCGAGGCAGTGGCTCTGATTTTCCCGTTTCTAATAAAGAAACTGAAGGGGAAGCATTAAGAATTTTAAAATTTCGCAGCAGCAACAACCAAAATAAAGTGTCTAGAAATAACCTTTGCAAAAATATAAGAAGTAGTGAAAAATTAAAAACCCACCACTTCTGTCTGTCTTTCAGACAAAAGCTTTCTTTCTCTCAATAAACATATTCTCATAATAAAAATAAAAATCCATAAAAATTACTCAAAGATATAAAAAGAAACTTTATAGTTAAATGGAGGCAGCTTGAGACCATACTCATAATTGAAATAAACTCACATTTGTAAATATCATCTTGTGTCCCTAGTGTAAAAAATAAAAAATACAATCCAAAATGTACACTAGATTTTATGTTAAAGGGAAAGAAAGTGCTCAAAAGAAGAGAGTATCTGGGATAGGAGAAAGGAGAAAAGAAAGAAGGGAAAAGCCGTGCACGTGGGTATACATACATACGTGTGTATGTCTCTGTTAGTTCATCAAAAGGAACAGTGTGTGCTTTCACTGTTTGTTTGATCATGTTTTTCATGCCTAAATCTTGTAACCCGAGCAACTGTTTCTAAGATAACAATATGCAGTATATTAACAAGTGTTAAATTTCCTACTGTTTTTTGAATTCTGTATCATTGCTATCCTTTTTTTGTTGCTTTGCTTTTTAAATTAAAAAAAGAAACCTTAAATGATGTTATATGTAAGGAGACTATTTCTAAACAAAAAACAGTATTTTTAAAATGCTAGAATTTAAATTAGTTTTGGTTTATTAATAGAATCATATTAGTAAGATAATTTAATGGGTTTTATTGGATCAAGAACCACCAGATAGGAGGTCAGATTAGAAAGTAGGACATTAAAAATGGGCTCTGATATAATAATTTGAGTACTTGAGGCATTATATGTACATGGAACAAGTAAAAATTACTTGGCCAGGCTTTCTTGTTTGTTTGATTTGTTTTTTTGGTAGCCAGGTTTTACATTATTAAAGATAGGAAAAACGCATATTCTGCGGAGTGAGTGTGGACCACTGAGAAAGGGAGCTCACTGGCTAGCTGGCCAACTTTGGTGGCATACGTCTGTAATCCTAGCAGTTGGGAGGCTGAGGCAAAAGAATTACAAATTCTAGGTAATCCTTGACTACACAGCAGGTACAAGGTCAGCCTGAATACATGCTGAGACCCTATCTTAAAAAGCTAAAGAAAAAAAAAGCGAAAGATTAGTCTACAAATGGGAGTGGAGTACTTGTTAGCCAGTAGGAGAAAAAATAAAGGTTGAATCACCACACTATAATAAATTCCTGAAACTTTTTTTTTAAATGTTAAATAATAAAGTGGAAATCAATACTGCAGTAATGCTTGTACAGTCTTTAACAATAGATAGAGGAAAATATTTAAATACATACACTAAACAAAACACCGTAAAAAAATATTTGTTGACAAGGTAAAAGTTTAATGCCTTCAGTACATAGATTCCACACCACCTATATGATAACACCAGAAATCATTGTAGCAAAAGAGACAGAAAACATAATTGTGCATTTAAAAAAAAAAACAGAAAAACAATGAGTAAGCATGAGAAGAGTCAAACCTCAGCAGTAATTCAGTCAGGTGCACATAAATGTGATCTGCTTTTCACCTTTCAGGCAGACTCCGTGTTCCTGAGCTAAGCTGTTCTCCTGTTAAGGTTCTAGGTCTCATCTCACACCAGCCTTCTGAGAAAGCAGTTTGGCAACTTGTATTAAGAATCTTAAAGATACCAGTAGCCTTTAATGCACTAATTTTAGAAACTTTTAATCAAAAAATATTTCAATGTGGTGAGTAAAGGTAAATTTCTTCAAAGCCATTTTTCACAACATCTTATACACACGTGTATGTGCACACATACATGTCAGCCAAACTGTCCCACATCAGACCCCACATACAACCTTGGGAAGGTGTATTCATGAAAATATTTTATGTCATTTAAAAATGCTGTCCTTCACAGTTAGTTCCAAGAAGGATAAAAATATATAAAGTGATTTTAAATATGCAAATAATATATAGTTTCCAAAGAAGTTTTCCAGTATGTAAACAGAAGGTAATTTTTCCTATTTTTAAAAATATTTTATTTATTAAATCTTTCAATTATAGCCAACAAAATCAACCCCCAGTCAGTGTATCTACTGGGGCGTGAGGGGAATGGAAGAGGGTGGCATTTATTGGTTACTACAACTGATAATTCTAGATCTGAGCTAAAATTCAGTTCAGATTTGCTACTGCAGCTTAAGTAACATTGAAGTCTGTTTCATTCTGTTCTCATCCTGCCTCAAGTGTCTTCCCAACATGGTGGGCCAAGATACTGCCTTTTGGTAGCTAAGTGACCACAGAATTCCGGATCTCACTTCATACCTAAACAGAAAGAGGTCCTGGTTAGTGGCTCCCTTTATGATAAAGGAAGCGTCTTTTCTCCTGGCCACAAACAAGTGTCTCTTCACGTCTCATTGGCTCTATTAAAGCCAAAGTGGGGTGAGAGATCTTATTGGTCTGAAACAAGTCAGGATTTACTGCTTGAGCACCACTGGGGCCATCCTTCCCCCACTCCAGGGCTGAAAATAGAGGAGGGGTTCTCCCTCCACACACCACCAAAAATAGAATTTGACTTCTGGGATAAGGAACAGATCGGTCCAGCATAACCAACCAGCATCCATTACAGGGTTCTTTGGAAACTTCTACAGTGAGAATATGTTAAAATTATATTCCAAAAAGCTTCCATGTTTCTGTAAAGAAATATCATACATCCAGCATCCTAAAAAAGGATAAAAACTTGGAAAGTGTGTAAAAGCTCTGGAACGCATTGAGAATTCATTCCACAAACTACAGAGGAGGCAGTTCCTTGTAGAGGTCAGCGTGTCCTTGAAGTCATGGTGATCACAGTCCTTTTACTACCAGATGCTTGATCTAAGCAAATTACTTACTCTCTTAGCTTCTGTTGTCTTATCTATGAAGGAGGTATAACTGGCACCTACCTCACAGGCCTTCTCTGAGGATTAACCAGAATATGTGCTGAGGTGAGCTGTGAGCATTTAAAGAGTGCTCTTGCAGTCATTTAACAAATACTGATGTAATTTGTAGAATGATGTTATATTTAATGCTCTGCCTGTATGTGTTGTACGAAGTGAGGGAGATTCAGTTGCTACATCTACTTTTTCTCAGCCTTAGCAATTTTTACACACATCTTAATTCATTTCACAAGTGGAGACGTAACTGTGAAGGGAAGGGGAAAGTGAACAAGAGCACAGGGAAATGTAATGCCTTCTCTTGGAGCATATTGCTTAGAGAGGAAGAAAAACATCTTTTTAACACTGGTCACCATACATAGTGCTTTTCATGTGCCTACACTTAAGTGTTTGGTTTTTGTTTGCTTGCTTGTTTTGTTTTTTACTGTAGTAATTTGTTTAAATTAGTTGCTCTACTTATTTATGCCCATTGTACAGATAGGGGAGTTGAGGTCCCAGAGGTTAGTTTGCTTAAGTTCTTATAGTTCATGGCAGAATGAAGATTCCCATGCAGGGATCTGGCTCCAGGCCTGTTGTGGAATAACCACTCCTTGCTCTCTACTGCTGAAAAGTAGACTGTTACTGTCAAGAGTGTGATGTGAGTGCTTGGTCCTCTCTTGTGGCTGTCATCATAAGCAGTCAGACACACCGAGTACATGGCTCTAGAGCATATCCAGGCAAGCTGATGTCAGAAAACAGTGTAAAGTTGCCTATCCAGTAATTTCCAGTACCATGTATGAGTGAGAAAGCTTCGTGGGACCTTTAACACACACTACGCAGTGCCCAGAGAAAAGCTGCATATTGGGAAGCAGAATCCTGCCATGCGCAGCTGTGCTTCAGATGCTCCCATTAATGTTGGGGAGTGAGCATTTAAGAACACTGTGAATCAGTGAAATGAATCTTGTGGAAAAGTGGGTGTGAGTGGTTGCCACTATCAGATCTTAACTGCTGACTGTGGAAAACTTAAGGGAGGTTTCATCAGCAGAAACCAGTTAGCATAGGACACTTCTGACCAGCATCATGGCCGGCCCAGAATCTCCTTACATGAGGGATTCTGTTGGAAGGGATCACATCTCCTTAATGGGCATAAAACCACTAACTTCTAGTCTACACCATTCAGTAATTATGGAAAAGATGCTTTCATTGGTTCCACCATCACAGCTCTTTTCCCATTATTCCAATTTTGTATTGTCTGGAGATACTCTGTATTTAAGCATGCTTTACAGAGAAGTTATATAGAAAGTATAGGGTTCCCATGGTTCCCTCTACCCCTTCACACAGTTGCCCTGTTAACATCTTATATTAGTGAGTTTAGCCTCCTTTGATCTCCATCAGTCCTTACCTGTCTCAAGTCCTGTTTCCCCCCTCTTCCTGTAACATTTACATGATATTTGTATCACTTTCTGTATGCATCTTGTTTGCTTAAGCACAGGACCAATTTTTAACAGCAAACTGATCATTGGGGAGTCTCATGCCATTGTGGTTACTGTGCTTTCAGATCCTGTTGATCATTGCTTCAGTTATCGGCATCATCGTTTACAGGCTCTCGGTGTTCATTGTATTTTCCACTACCCTTCCCAAAAGCATCGACGAGACAGACCCAATCCAGAAGTATCTGACCCCGCAGATGGCCACGTCCATCACTGCGTCCATCATCAGCTTTATCATTATCATGATTCTGAACACTTTCTATGAAAAAGTGGCCATCATGATCACTAACTTCGGTAAGATCCACTCCTAGCTTAGGCCATTGTATATTAGGCCTGGTAAAAATAGACTATTTCTAACTGTTTGAATTCCTGTAGGCTATAAGTTTTAGAGATTTTTGAGTGTGAACATATTTTATCTAGCCTGTATCAGAAATAAATTACCTTTGCATGAATAAAAGGGACACAGCAAAGATAGTCATTATAATGTCCATGAAACACATTGGTACTAAATAATATTTTCAGTTACATTAGATCACATTCTCTTGTTGAAAGCAAATAGTCTCTTTTTTCCAAATAAGTGCCAGAGGATCATGGTTCCTGTGGCAAGTATGCTCCTCTGTTGCAGAGATGACAAGCAATCATATTGCTATGTATCTTCCCCTGTACCATTTATATTAATATAATTCTCATCCCCTCTGGCCTGATATGTGTCCCAGGCAGCTCCTTAGCGATTAGTGACACTCCTCTGGGTCAGTCTCTGTGTGCATTTCTCAATTGCCATCTTCAGACAATCAGAACAATTCAGAGTCCAAACTAGGAAGATGGCTTGTTTTATCTTCCTGTATGCCTCCAGCAAGCTGCCCCTTCTTCAGCAGACCACCCATGGTACAACTTGGGAAGATAAGAGAACATCCTGTAGCATGCAGTTTAAAAATAGTTTGCTGCCAATTTAGACCTAAGACAGTGCATAGCCTAATATTTGCACATGGGCACATGTGTGTATATATGTATATGTGTTAGACACACTTATTTCTCTCACACACACTTATTTCTATGTACCTGCACCTTTTGTGTGTATATATATTTGTTTTCATGTAGGATATATTCATGTGAGGAGAGAACTTGTATAATAGTATTTAAACTTGGAAGTGACATAGTGGCTATATTAAGGAACTGAAAACAGTTTAAGTGGAAACAGTGTGAATCGTATATTTTTCAACATGTTAACTCATGTAAAAGTGTCAGATTCAGGTCTCAAAGCTAGTCACGAATTGGATATCTTTTCTTTATTTTACCTACAGAACTCCCAAGGACCCAGACTGATTATGAAAACAGCCTAACTATGAAGATGTTCTTATTCCAGTTTGTCAACTACTATTCATCCTGCTTCTACATAGCATTTTTTAAGGGCAAATTTGTAGGCTATCCAGGAGACCCGGTATATTGGCTGGGGAAATACAGAAATGAAGAGGTATGGAAATAGAATTGTAGTCTCTTGACAGTTTTAAGCCGCTTCATGTTTTCTCTCAGTTTTCTAATAAATTGTTTTTTCATTGGATATTCTTTAGATGTTTTTAGCCTAGACAGAACAAGTGTCAAAAATAAATAGATTTAATAACTGTATTTCTTGTTACACCCATCTAAAACCTAAATGAGATTTTCTTTTTAACATGCTAGTGTGACCCGGGTGGCTGCCTCCTTGAACTGACGACTCAGCTGACAATAATCATGGGAGGAAAAGCAATCTGGAATAACATCCAAGAAGTATTACTTCCGTGAGTATTCAATAGCGTACACCTGAGTGATGAGACAGGAGCCAAGGTCGCCCACCCGTCCAAGTAATTTACCTTCACAGCCCCATAGCTGTATGTTCGCTCTAAATGAGTCAGAATCTGTTACAGTGAGAGGTCTTCAGACAAGATAGTCCAGTCCACAGTCAAAGCATATCTAGTATTAAAAAGTATGTAAAGCCTTCCTTATACCTAATGAAAATCCCTATCTGTTGTAGTTTATGCTTCTTAAACTGTTACTGGCACCAGCTAATCACAGGCCTTGGAGAGGGCTCTTGTTAGAGCTGTGCCCTCCACCCTTCTCTTTATACTAGAGACTTATGTCAGTAATCGTGACTTGTTGACTTCTTTGGATGTGTCTGTCACTACATTAAGTGATATATAGTTTGCATGTAGTGTGCTAGTCATAGTTTAATCTTCCAAACTATCCTCATCTCCCTTTTATAATGGTGATCTTTGATTTTAAAGACATTAATGATTTGTCTAGTTCTCGCAGGCAGTAAGGAACTATTGTGCAGTTCAGCACCAGGATCCCATGGCTGTAAGCCCCTGTGAATTCTTGGTAGACATTTGGGGTAGAGATGTAGACAGTGGTAAAGCACTTGCACAGGATGTGTATAGCTCTGGTTTCGACAGCCAGCACCACCAAAAACACTTTTTAATAAAAGGTATTTGGGAGAATCCTAAGCACAAGATACATGCCTAATGTTTTAAGTAGTTATCTAAAGTAATAACCACAGAAGTTTTCACTTACTGTTTCTTCCCTTAAAAATGAGAGTAGGAGCCAAACGATGGCATATTCCTCTTATCCCAGCACTCTGGCAGACTGAGGCAAGAGGATCACAAGTTTGACCCCACCATAGATAACTTAGTGAGACCCTGTCTAAAAAAGGATGGGGTGGGGATGTTGTTCAGTAGTAGAAACCCTGGGTCCAAACCCTGGGTCTTTTTTGAGGGAGCTCAAAAAAGAATTAGAGTATAATTATACCTCAGGCATTAGCTAAAATTCTGTTGTCCTTTCAGATTTCACTTAAATTCCATCCCATATCAAAGTGGAAAGTCCAATGCCATCTGCATTTTCCACAGATTTCAGGAATCTTACTGTGTTTTCTATTGCCACTGTAACAAATTACCACAAAATTCATAGGTTAAAACAGCACCGATATAATGTCATATGGTCCAGGAAGTCAGCAGTCTGACACTGGCTTCACTGGGCTGGCATCAAAATGTTGGAGGACAGTGTGCCTTTCTAGAGGCACTTGTGTTGATCTCGTTACTTTTCTGGCTCCCAGAAACGGCCCACATCCCTTGGCTTGTGACCTCTCTTCCCCATCTCAAATCCAACTGAGTTTTCTGTAGCGCTCTCTCCTCTTCCATTTTCTTCTTACTCTTTTAGTGATTTTTTTTCCCCTTTTTTGTGACAGAGTCTCACTATGTAGTGCAGCTGGCTTCGAACTCACTGTAGCCCAAGAGGGCTCCTGACTTGCAGCGTTCCTCCTGCCTCAGCCTCCCAAGTGCTGGGATTACAGGCATGCACCACCATGCCTGGTTGTTAACGACTCTCTTAACTATGTTGGACTCACACTGATTGCCCGGGATGCCCTCCTTGTGTTAAAGCCAGCCGGTTAACAACCTTACTTCCTTTTTGCCACATAACCTAGCACATTCCTGTGCTGCATGATTAGGAAGGAAACATGTTTGTGTGGTCTTTTACTCTGCTTACCACCTAGTTTTTCTTTTCTTTTTCTTTTTTTTTTTTTCTTTTTTTGGTGTCGGGGATCAAACTTATGACCTTGTGTTTGCCAAGCAGGCACTTTATGCCACTGAGCTAAATAAACCCTTGGCCCCTACCACCTAGTGTTTCAAGGTAACTTCCGGCTCTGGTTTCTGCTACCATGGAACTTGATCCCCTCTGTGGTTCCTCCTGTATCTGTACCCTTCTCTGTTCCATGCCAGCCTAAATCAGATATGTTGAGCCTCACTCCCTGGTGCCCTCCAGCGCACAGATGTATTTTGCTGCTGTTTGGGGCATGAAGTCAGAAACTCAAGGAAATTATATTTTGAAGTGAAAAAAATTCTCTGCCCTCTTTAAACTTTGTACCGCACTCTGCAGGTTTATTTTATACTTAACCACCCTTCCTTCTCCAGCCTCCTGCCATCCTGTCCTGTTTTCCCATCGCATGCAGTTTCTCTCCCCACCCCACCTCTTCCATCAGCAGGTTTCTCTCTGCTCTGTAAATATATAAAATAGAAGAAATTCTGAACTCAGTCCTAGATCATTAAAAAGCATTTTCTGAACCAGGTAGATTATTGAATGTTAAGACCTGATAACTAGTTGATGACAGTGAACTGTTTTTCTAATTAAAAAATTAGTATACCTTAAACTAGCACTGAAAAGTCAAGGACAAATTATTACATCTGTTGACCCCTTTGTATTTTCATTTCGAGTAAGCCCATTGTTAAAACGTACAGTAACCTGAACTTTGCCTTTATTTCTTTAGATATTTCTCCTCTTGGCCTAAAGTATTTCTGCTGGATGTTTCAAATTTTATTTCCCTTAGCTTTAAAACTGGAAAAATGGTTAGCCAGACATAAGTGACTTGGGCTGTTTGCTGCTTTGTGTAGATTCCAGTTTCCTTCTTGTTTTTATTTCATACAAAAACGTATACCACGATACAGTTATTACCCTTGCTGCCTAGAACTTCACCTATCCCAAAAATAAATAGGAAAAGAGAGAGAAGCTTGAAAGTCAGTAGCCGTTTTCCTGTTATGTCAAAAGGAAATGTATTTCACCAGAACTCTACCTGCTCCATCCTTTGATGCGCTTTGGGCCCATATCCCGGACTGGGATTCTTGTAACCAGGAAAGCAGCTTGTCTGGCTCTCAGGTCCGGGTTCCCCTGGCATTTCTCCTGCACCAGACTGCTCCCTGGTGTCAAATAGGCCCTGGGCACAGAAGGTTGAGTAGACAAGTGCCACCTATGCTTCACGTACAAAATAGCAGTAAATTCCAGAAGTGTTTGTGAGACCCAGAGAACAATCTCAAGGCCCTTTGGTCTTCCCAACTCCACTTAGTATTTTAATGTTTGAGTCATTCTTGGGAATTTGCTTTATACTGTATTTGACAAAAGGTTAGTACAATTCTTGTGTTAGGCAAATCGCTCTAGAGAAACGTGCATATGTTAAGGACAAATAAGCCTTGGGTGTTTAGATGGTAGATAGCTATCATTTTCTTATCTCTTCTACTATATTTTCCACAATGAATGTGCACTGATATAATTAGAGAAATGAGCCATCCTACAAGATTTCAATATATGATCAAACAGAGAATGAGCCAGAGATACACAGAGTCCTGATTACAGGCTCCAACTTACCCTTTTAAGTTCAAGAAAAGTAGACACACACAAAATAATTTCAGATAGTGAACAGCACTTGAATTTCAAAAATTGTAAATGGGAATACTGCAGAATGCTTTAAACATAAATGAAGACTGTCTTTAGTATGTAGAAAAATATGGTAAAGAAAAGGCCAAGAGAATATGAGGATTAAGTACTTTACACTATACATAATAAGTATTTAGTAAAGGGCAACTTGTTATGTGCAGTTATGTTAATATGCATGGATATGTTAATAGGAATTACAAATCCCTAAGCAATTCTAGACTTGGCCAGCAGAAAAGACACCTGAATTTGTTTATTTGTCTTACTCCTGTGGGTGGTTCTCATGTACACTCAAGGTTGAGATTTCAGCTCAATCCCTGGTACGAAAAAAAAAAATTGAGATTTCATATTAGAATCATAGCCCAGTAGAAAATTGAAAGATCCTGGGCAACAGTGGATATATTTCTACTACAGATGAGTGATTCAGCTCTATAAAAGAAGCTCAGAGTCTGTACATAGCTCTGCAAACAGAGTTCATCAAAAAGACCTCTCACATGAACTGATTTGGGGAGGCAAAATAGTAGGAAAGGGTAGAACAGGTGATCATGCAACAGGACAAAATTTCTTCCTGAATCCAAGCTGGTGGATTTAGCCCAGAGAGAAGTGTACTGCTGGGGGAATGGGGAGGATTCAGAAGAAGCAGAGGCTAGAAGTGGAGAGAAAAAGCAAAAAATAAACCCACAGAAACTAAGCCCACTCATCTCAGGATGAGGTGCCATGAGGAATGGTGAACATATGTGGTCCTTGGAGACTTGTGTCACAAGGCCCTGGGATGGCAGTAAGACTGCAGGTTCTAGGACATTCCTCAGGTCTTTACTGAGGTGTAGGAAGCTGCACTATTAGCAAGCAATGAGTGTCTTTCTTGGAAACAACAAAGTGAGAACCATTGGTTCAGGTGGCCTAGTATCCGTAAGCCTGGCTCCAACTGACACAGACCTGTGTTTTCATTTAGCTTCATCCTGTATCAGTCAGCTGGAAACCTCATACAGGTGTGTTTGGATAGTAGCCCTGGATAGTGAACATCTTATCACCCTATTTTCTATTAATTTTGCCAAAGTAAAATAGCTAGTAAGCAATAGAGTATGGATTTAGATTCATATTCATGGAGGTTTGAGGTCCATCCTCCCTCTTCCCCCAGACTCCTGCTGCTCCCTAGATTTCATCAATGAGAAAGAAGAGGGGGAAAGACTGAAGCCAAGCAGTCCACCAGAAAAGCCTGCATAGTAGGCCAAGAAAGGAGCAGAGACAGGTGGCAGTGAGAAGCATGAACCATCACAGAGCCCGAGCTAGGCTAGGCGGGTGTGTGCATAGCCATCACGTGCATGGTGCAGGGAGGACAAGGGTCTGTGTGGTTTTTCTCAAAGCAGCTGTCTTCACAGGCCTATGATGGCTTCTCATTGTCACATTTTGAAATCCACACAAACATGTAAACAGGGGAAGCTTACCCGGATGCTGTAGGTGTGCTTTTGAAGGTGCTTATTGTGCAGCTGTTGTGAATTCTACATGCAAACCGCAGACTACCTGTTGCTTGAGGGGATGCTGGGTCTTCACACTGGAGGTGCACAACTCATGTTACTGCCTACTCGGACTTCAAGGGCATGTTGCCTTAAAAAGTGTAGGAAACATTTATTGCAGCCACAGGATTTAAGAGAGGAAAAACGTGGCATCTAAGAAAGCAGACTGTGCCGTGGAGGCGGAGCCCGGGGCTAACTGTGCACTGCCCTCAATGAGTGTTTCACCTCTCTGATCTTTAATACATTCAGCTTAATACTTTCAGCGACCTCTTTACCCAATGTCACATGATGACCCTTGCCACTCAGTGCCCTCCGCTGTCTCCTCACTTCTTTCAGGGTTAAAAGCGTCTGTGTCTGAACAGTGACCTGCAGACTTGTTTGCTGTGAGCCTTGGCCCACAGGAGCCTCCTATCAAGGTGGGGGCCCACTCTTGCCTCCGGCTCTTTACAGTTAGCGTAAGCCCAGCCTGAAGCTCTTGCCTCAGAAGCTCAGCCTTTCCTGCCTCCACTTGTCAGCGAGGTTGTTCCCACTACTGTCACGGCCTTCCCTATGCACAGATGTAAACCAGCCTCGCCCTGCTTTCTTATTCTCCACAGCACTTCATACCAGTTCACATGACTTTATTCTGCTTGCTTCTATCGATGATTTTCATAGTGGAAAGACTATTATGATGGTGAAGAGGGACTGTGAGAAACTAAAATTAATCAAAAGAAAGAAAATGTCTTAAACATTGAGCTGCTCACATGCAAAAAAAAAAAGTAGCAGTTATAGTTTGATAAATCCAGGTGTACACTTGTACATGAAGGGATAAGGAGGCAGGAAATAAAAAGAAATTAAGCATGTAAATAAATTAATTTCTGGGGAAGATGATGTGCTCAGCTTTGAGATGGCAACAAAATGACCTTTGTCTGATAATATTCTAATTTATAATTTGATGTTTTTTGGCAGCTGGATCATGAATCTAATCGGACGCTATCGCAGAGTTTCCGGATCAGAAAACATAAGGCCACGGTGGGAGCAGGATTACCATCTGCAGCCCATGGGCAAGCTGGGGTTATTTTATGAGTATCTGGAAATGAGTAAGTTGTTAAGGAAAGTTTTAAGTGATGTGAGATATTGGAGCATATTTTGGCATCCAAGAGCAACTCTTAACAGAGCCAGATGATTATTTAATGTGTTGAAATGGAGTATGTTTTTCTCCAGGAGATAAAATTACACAGCTAGGCTTCCAGATAAAGCAACCATGTGTGTCTTTGTTAATACTTACATTGTTTGAAGCAAAATATTTACTACTGAGTAATGAAATGGAGTGTTCATCGAGGTACTTCTTCACCACTAGTTGTGGAAACATTCTGACAGTGTTGTCTGAGGATGGACTTAGTACCTATCTTCAGCTGTGAGAGTCAGCTTGGGCTGGAGCTCATGCAGGCACAGCTTGACACATACACCTGTGAACTGTCACATAAAGCCTGCAACAGCATGCTGCTCACTTGGGGGCTCACGGGTACCCACACTCCACCCCTGCCTTGGAAGCCTTTGGCCACTGATTTCCCCTGCTTCCTTAAGTGGCCTCAGGAATGGGAAACCATTTTGTTGGTCCAGGATTAAGATTCAGCACACAGCTCCCCTTGTTGCTGAACATCCTTGTCTCTTTGTGTATTAATTTGTGTGAGCCCTGTTTCTCCTCTTCAATTAGTCTGATTTTGAGATCTCTGATGCTTTTTAAATAGATTTCCAGGGGCCGAGGATTTAGCTCAGTGGCTGTCTAGCAAGCGGGAGGTCAGGAGTTCAATCCCTGGTACCCCCCCCAAAAAGATTTCCATAAAAAACCTATTATGCATGACACACTTGTATCTAATTGATGGCTAACAATTTACATGCTTTTTACCTGTGCCCTTTCAGCTAACCATTGCATTGAATTTTACAGGTTTTTTTTTTTTAACTGTAGAAAAATAGAAAAAGAGGCACAAAGTTTTGTTTGATAGGCCTTGAATATATGCATAGGGATCTTTATATTTGCAAGGACATCTTTTGTGGTTATTATTTACATGTCTAAAGATAGAGGTGGGTTTTATTAAATAGCATTCTATATATAAAATAATTGCTTTTGAAAGTATACATTATGCATGAAAATATATCTGCTCTGTTTGGTGAGTGAAAGGTTCATTTTGTGGCTCCTTCAGTCACCAGTACCTGTAGCAGCCTGAGGTCTGATTTGAAGTTCATTTCTGCATGTTTGGTGACCAGGATTTATTAAGGGTATAACTAGAGTGCATAATGAAGAAGCTATATTTACTTCATTTATTTTCAAAAGAACTGCATGATAATTACTTATTATTCCAAAATGAATTGTAATTATAAATATTTCTTATTGCAGCCTTTATCAGCATTAACAACAACATCCTGGTGCAGAATATCCTTGTTTAGCCCCCTCCCCAAAAAAACTTGGGACAAAGTGATTTTTCTGTAGTTGTTGAGTCAAATAAGTGACGGTGCTTTGGGGAGAAGTTGACCAGACTTTTACAGATTCGTAGGCTTATTAAAATAGTTTGAACTAAATAATTTGGCTCCATCCTACCCTATCAGACAAGATTGAATAACAACTGATATGGGCAGATTTCTAGATGTAATAAATTGCTTTCCAATCATTTTAACACTTAAAAGACCTAGTTCCTGAGAATCAGTCTGTTAGTGTATATTCAATAGCAATGTGAAATCTGGCTTTTGTCCTTGTAGACTATAGAAGATAGAATCTCAAGTGCCTTTTGGATTATTTTTGTTCTTCTGAAAGTAAATAACAAATGCCATTGGAATGGTCTCCAGTCACACAGTTGCCCCCATCCCATCTCCCTGCATTCACTAACGATACCACCCCTCTACCTTTCTAATAGTGTATTCTACTGCTTAAAGGACACATCTTCCTGCAAGTGACCCTGGAGCTCTCTGCCTTTGCCTAGGCCTTGCACTAGCCACCCGCCTTTTATCTTTCTTCTCACTTCACGAGTTCCTCTTGGGCCTCAGCAATACCCCTCAACTTTCTGCATCACTTGGTAGCTCCTTTCTCCTAGGCCTGAGCAACACTAGCTGCAGTCATCTTCCATGTACGTCTCTCTTTGCTGGGGAGCCTGTTAGAAGTAGCTAGCAAGTCCTCGGAATCTGCTACTCAAGCTGCTACTCAAGAATATTCAAGTGACTTGGAACACCTGTACAGCTATTAGTTGCTCTTACATGCACAGTGGCCCATCCAATCCCCACCGAATGCTGTATGGCCTATGGATTTCTTTGAATGAAATTTGTATTAGTGAATTTCGGCCATCCTTTGAATTATTGAAGTAACCCTGGGCCATTAGCCAAAATCACTTCCCAGAGTATCAGTCCTGATTATGAGAACTTAGACACAAAATATCAAAGAAATATAGTGCATCGGTGTTAAAATCTAAAAGCCATAGATACTCTCCTGTTCCACAAGTACCCAGCACAGTCATAGGTACATTGAGAACTAGGCAACATCTTCCGTGCGCAAGTGCTGTAAATGAAGCACGCTGAAGCGACGAAATGGCCCTCGTTGCCCATGGTGCAGCCTCTTACAGCCATGCTGTGTTCAGTCGCTCTGGTTCTAAGCTCCTTTATAAAAATTATGGAAACACGCTCTTCACATATCATTTGCTCCATTTAATTTACTGAAATGAATGCTAGTAACTCCTCAACATCTCTTTGCAGCCACCACTCTATGCAGTACCTACTATGGGTTCAGTATGACTTTGTATTCTCTAAAATTGAAGAACAAATTTTAGGAACATTGGAGGTTAAGAGCAGACGGTATTTATTGAGAGAAAGAAAGCTTCTGTCAGAGAGAGAGAGAAAGACAGGCGTGCCGAGTGAGTTGCCCAAGACACTTGTCTTTTCTAGAGACTTTCATAGAGAAAAACCGTTGCAAGGCAGGTTGCGAAAACATGGGGACTTGCAAGGTGGGCATAAAGTGGGACAGAACTACAGTCAACCAATAAGATTAATTACTCAGGTAAAATCCATTAAATGGGTACAAATGGGAAGCCAGTTGCGAGCAGGCATGCTTACTGAGCAGTGACTACTCCTGTAGGGGGTTGGGATGGTGACTCCTGGCTTCCTCAGGGTGATAGACATCTATTTAGAATATCAGTCCTTAGGATGTGGGCATATTTGATTTATCTTTTGTCTTGAGGCCTGGCCCACAGCGAGGTGTCTGTTCCCCCAGTTTTTCTTTCTTTTTCTTTTCCTTTTTTTGGTTAGGGGGTTGAACTTACTGCCTCATGCTTACAAGGCAGGTGCTTATGCCACTGAGATAAATCCCTGGCCTTCACCCACAGTTTCAAGATATCTGCATTGGCTTCTGCATTGGCTCTTTTGAGGGCCTTAGCCCTGTCTGACTGCCTATAATATTTCTGTCTAACTCAGTTGCCCTCCCTGTGTCAGTCACCGCAGCCCTTCCCCTGACTCGGGCCTGCTTTCCTAGTCCCCTCATCTCTGCTCACCTGTCTAAAGCCAGCACAGAGCCGCCTTACCCCAGTAGCATGAGTTTTCCCAAATGGCAGCAGGTCCCGGGGAGAATTTGCAGACCTTGTCTGCATGCCTTCATTCTGTAAATATTTCTTGAGCAGTCTGGATTGCTAGAGGAGACCAAGATAAGACTTGGTCAGTGTGCTCAAAGAGCCAGCACTCCTGGATCGCTGAGAATGCAAACCTGGCTTCCTCCAGCAGGTGACAAGCAAGTGACTTTTGAAGGTTGAAAGGAAGTTATCTAACATGGTGAAGGGAATGGTCATTTTGTGCAGAGAGGCAAACACATGTTAGAGTGCAAATGCACAAAAGTGTTGTTACTTCTTTTTTTTGTGAACTCATGACCTAGTGCTTGCCAGGCAGGCACTTATGCCACTGAGCTAAATCCCCAGCCCGGTGTTGTCACTTCTAAGAAGATCGAATAAACAAAGCATGGCGGAATGAAGGATCTATAGGTGTAAATACCAGATCACCAAGGACCACATCATTATAGACTCTACTCAACAGGGACCTTGCACTTTATTCTTAAAAGAAATAGGCATCTGTTGGAATATTGGTAAACAAGAGAGCTGTGAAGTGTTTATGTTAAAGAAGGTCAGGTTACTCTGGTAGCAGATGGAAGATAACATTTTGAGTGGGGTCTGCATCGGATAGAGGAAGGCAATCCATGAGAGTACAGCAGGTAACCCAGACAACAACTGATACGCATCTAAATAGAGGCTGTCAGCAGAAGAATAGAGATGGGGGAGCAGGTTTGCTAAGTACTGAAAGGATAGAATTGTAAAGCCACCTTCCGGAATGCTGAATTATATGGGGTGGAAATAGGGAGAAGAGCTCCTGTTGAGATGTTTCAGTCATGGATATTTTGGATGTTGGTACAGGGCATCAGAAAGACAGTATCTCAGAGGAGCGACAGGTGAGGCTGTGTGAGCAGATCAGGCAGGAGTTTCAAAACAATTTGTCAGAAAACATGCTGAGCCCCTGGAGAAAAGGGACATTTAAAGAGTAAATAGGAGAAGTGAGACCCACAAAGAGAAGGGGGAGCAAAGCAGGTAGAGGATTAAGTGCAGAACAGTACATAGTATTTGCAGAAGAGGGATTTGAAAGTGATGGGAGGGTAACGTAAAGCAAAAGAAGAATTGCTATTTAATTGTGGCGCTGGAGGGAAAAGTAGGAAAGGATTTGAGAGGTTTTTGGCTTCTAACGTATAACTTGACTCCGGTTTTTAACAATACTTAAGTAAAACAAAAATGAAGAAAACTTAGTGATCAGATAAACAAATGAAACCACCTGTAGGCTCTGGAATATGCAGTCATTTGCAGAGTTATTAGCAAGAGTCGATTCAAGTGCAGGGTGAGGGCTGAACCAGGACGGGACTCCATGGAGGGAAGGCACGGTAGAGAAGTAAACAGTGTGCAGAGACTTCAAGAAACCTGACTGTCAAGGGGAGAGGGAAGGATTAGAGGGCAGTATAGAACCCCAGCAGAATTCAGGCGAGAGATATTTTTGTATTTATGATGAGTGCCTTGCTGAAATGATCTGTCTTTTTAGTTCCTATTTAAATATCAGAACAAAATACACCATGTTGGTTTTTTTCCTGATGTTTTTAACTATGAAAGTTTTAATCCATCTGGAATTTATTTTGAGGTAAGAAATGATACTCTGTACCTATTTTTTCCAGCGATTTAGTGAGTTTTTTCGATACTTGGAACTAACTGATTATAATGTATTTAAGTCTCAAGCATATTTTTATTTCTGCTTTAAAACCATTCTGTTTAATTCATACTACCTATCTGTGCACCAATTCTGCACTTTTGTTGTTTTATTGTCATTTTCCAAAATGTCACTGCTGTCACTAGAATCATTCCCCTTTATGATTTACTTGTCCACTTATTTATAAACTTTAGCATCATCTTTTAGCTTTTTAAAAAATACATTTGAACTAACTGAATTTATATTAGAATTCTAAATTATTCTGTGTAGAAAAATGTGATAAGTTCCCAAATCTTAGTCTGCCCAATCTAGTACTTTTTTTAAAACCCTAATCCACAAATCATCTGCCAATATCCTCTTAGCTCAACATTAAGGATGAATAATATGGTTAAAATATGTCTCAAGCTCATTACCAGGAAATAATTTGTGATTAAAGACTTTTCAATATATTGTTCCTATTGTGTGTGTATATAAAAGAAATAGCTGTAGTGTGTTGTCTTACAGAGGTTTCATATTTGTGTTTTGTTTAAATTGTTTCACTGTTGAATGGTTGTTACTCAACATGGGTGTTTGTCTTTGGGACTGAGTTCTTCATTTGCCTTTCTCTTTATAAGAGTAAAGGAAATATGTTGTCTGTCCATCCACCACTCCATGATATGTGTCCATTCCATTGACAGTTATTCAGTTTGGGTTCGTCACCCTATTTGTGGCCTCTTTTCCACTGGCTCCTCTGTTGGCTCTGGTGAACAATATATTGGAAGTAAGAGTGGACGGATGGAAACTGACCACCCAGTATAGACGCATGGTGCCAGAAAAAGCCAAAGACATCGGTGCATGGCAGCCCATCATGCAAGGAATAGCAGTTCTGGCTGTGGTGACCAATGTGAGTAGACATAGGCTGCACAGGGTAGAGACCTTGAAAAGCCCAAAAATGCATTAGGATGCTATCTATGGAATCAAATGTTTAATACTTCTTAAAATGGGAGGATGGTTCCAGGTCTGTTGTCCGTATAAACAATATAATTATAAGTTCATGGAATTAAAGTGTTAGTCTTTTTTTAATTTGGTTGACTTATAACTCCTATTCTTGACTTACCAAGTCAAGTTATCCTGCAGAGGCACATTGTTGCCCACTTGCTAAAGTTCTTATTCAACAGAAATACGGTAATAGTAGTAATAAGTACTAACACTTCTAATCCTCATGACTGTACGAAAATTTTTTGATAACTCCTTTTAATGTAGGTAGAAGTACGTTCATTTAACATTTCAGGACTAAAATAAGACCATTCCACTGTGTTTTACAGTGTATTCCAAAATACCAACTTTCTGTGATTACTTTGATGAAGCCTAAACACCTTGCATATTTCTAATTGTGCATTGCCCTCCTTGTCTCCAGAGCAGGGTTATTTCAGCAGTCTTCCCCACTTCCATTAGGTCTCTGCTAGCCATCCTGTTGGCTGAGTCAGCTTCATGCCCTGAGTCCTGGCTGTGAGGAGATAACCCTCCGTTGTTTACAGCCTGTATTAATTGATTAGAGACCATCTGAGGTTTTGTTTTATTTTTGCACAGGCTAACAGAGTTCTCAATCATAGCAATCTTCATGCCAACTCATCAGAGTTCCTCCTTCCCTAGAAACAGCCTTAAAATCAGTGCCCTTTGCCTCTATATCACTGCCAGTCTTACCCCAGGTCAGCTTCCCCTACAAAATAATTTCCCAGCTTTAGTTTCTAAACCCATACTTCCTTCTCCCAAGTCTTCTGCCTTTTCTCATTGCCTATGGGTGAGACTGTGCAGGAGGGCATTCCTGATCACTGCAGGCTGTAGTCTCAGTAGATCTTCCAAGTGCCGTGTAGTCTTAGACCAGGGCTTCTCACCTCAGACTCATTTTATCATCATAGAATGCATGACTCCTTGCACAGAGTGGGTTAGTGAGTTCATTGAGTTAACACATAGAATTGGACGTCCTTATTTAATGTCAGTTGATGCTTTATTTTCTTTTCTCAACATTGTTAACAGTGATTTCCTGAGGACTCTGACATGTACCCCAATTAAAGGCACAAGAATCTGAAAATAAGTCACAATCTAGATAGGTATAGTTGTGTACAATAAAACAAGATATCTGGAATCCTTCACCCTAGAACCTCAATTTATCTGAATTGCATGTTGTCTCTACTCTTTGGAGAAAGTTGCAAATCACACATAAAAACCATCTTACAATGTATGTCAGTTTCCTCTCACCCAAATAACACTTACCATACCTTTAACATCCACTGCACTTCCAAATGAAGGCTGATGTTCAGAAATATGACAGCAAGGCCTTTCAATTTCCACAGTCCTAAGGAATGGATCTGTCATGTTCAATATGCTGTAGTACACTAAACAGAGTGAGAACGTGGACTCAGGTGATTTAAGGAAATTTTGAGCAACAAGATTTGAAACTAAAAGCATTTGTGCTTGACCTTCTGCAACCAGAAAATGCAATTACTTGTACTCCGTATTCCTCAAGCTTTCTAGCTTGATCATATCAGGCACCTTTTCTCAGAGCCCATGCCATGGCTCCGCTCCATTAGCACAGATGGGAGATTGGCTGTGTTTACAAGCTGCTCCAAGCGGGTCTGTGTACCGACATACATGCTGGCTCGTTGCAGCTACTGGGTCTTGTCCAATAGTTGTTTTCTTCTAACTTACGGTAGGAAAACTACTTATTAGATTTGTGTCATCGATTCCTTTTTCCCCATCTGACTAGAACTGTTAAATCTCCAGGGTACAGTGGTATACACATATACACATAGATAGGTAAATATGTATGCAAGCATTGAACATATGCGTATCCCCTCACAGGTCTGACCTCAAATACCTGCTGTAAAACCACAGCTAATGTATATAAGAGAAAGAGAAGAACAGCCATTGGGGTGAGAGTGGGCACTCAGCAGGAGTTTGGTGTAAAACCACCCCTTTTAAAGCTGCTGGTTCTGTAAATAAGTTGAATTAACACTGTTGTTTCTGCCAGAGCATCTGCTATTGAAGACCAGCTTTCACTTATTTTGATATAAATGGAAAACTGTGCAGAACAGCATGAGAAATGGAACACACTGCATTTATTTGTGCTCTGCTGCACACACACACACGCACACGCCCCGCAAAGCAGGTTGGCTCAGGAGGTGAGCTTTCTTGTCAGAAGACAATAGCATGATCTTCCATGTTGGACTTTCTATAGCTTCCTGAAGCACGTGTGCAAGAGATTTTATAAACAGATGACAGTTGAGGTCAGTGATAACAGGAAGTTTAATCTGAAATCTGGAAAAGGGTTTAGGATTCTTACCTCATTTTACCACTGACAGGCAGTCACACACACAGATTTTTCACATGGAAGGAAGTGACAGCGTTGGTTCTTGTGGTGACAGTTTTGCAATAGAAAAGCTCCTTCATTTTCTTGCTCTGCCTGAGGTCTTGTTTGCTGGTTTGTGGGCTCACTGTGCTTAAACCGTATGTTCATATGAATATGATTAAAAGTCATGTTGAGCCATAAACATACCTGCTTATTTAATGACTCGATCATTCATTTTGTTTATTCACATAGAATTTGGTTTGGAAAAATATTTGTTCTTCCTCCCTCAGGCCAGTTTTAAAAATGGGAGAGTTTAAAGCCCAAATTAAAGAATTTTTTTAAAAAATTTATATAACTCAGCTTTATGTCCTGATAGATGTCTGTCAGACAAAACTTTGATTGACTCATGTTTATTCCTCTTATATAAAAATATACTAAGGCTTTCTGTATATTGCTCAATAATTTATAATTTTCATAACTTCATCCATTTAATCTTTTGCAAGTTTGGAGGCATAGATTGTAGATCTAACAAAACTGACATCATTACTTGATTTTGTAAATGAAACAACCTCAATATAATTTCTTTTTAGCCACAATATTGTGTGTAAAAAATCCATATTTTCTAATGAAGTAACAAGAATGTAGGGAGTTTAAAGTAAATCAGGCTGTGGGGTGACTTTTCTAAACAAGTCTAGATAATATGAGGGTTGGGAGTGTGAATTTGATGCTGTTATTTAAACTTACATCCAGGAAAATATATTTTATGCAGTTTAAATTCCATTTTTGTGAAGATCAATGTTGTATTGATTACTGTACAAGGCAAGGGAATTATATAAAGTCAAAGTATTTTCAAAATACTGACCTTAGTATTATACCTACAGTTAGTAGGTATAATACCTTAGTATTATACCTAACAGTTCCTAACTGTTAACCTTAGGAACTCTAGAATTTTGACTGTACTAACTTGTGAAAAAATACTAATTTACAAGAATATATACAAGGCCTCTTAAGTTCTCTTCATTACCCTAGTTTACAGTTATTTTGAGTACATGGTATTATATTTAAAAGCATAGTAGGCAACTCACAGACCTCTGCATTTGAACTGCGGATCTTCCCTTAGAATTGAAGACCAGAAAGAAATAGGGTAAATTTTCTGCTCAGAGACCACTGAGCAAAGTGAAAAATGGCAGACTAAGAAAGTTAAAAAGTATGTCTTTTCTCATATATGAAGAAACTAGGAAAAAAAATTTTAAAGACTGAAGTAGAAAGGAGACTATTAGAGAAGAGGAGTAATGGGTAGGGAGGATCAAAGTGTGCTCCACGCGTATAGAGATAGGCCAAAGGGAAAGCATTGGTCTGTATAACAGACGCTAATATTTTTAAGATGCCCCACATGGGTTTTTAGGACATACATTTCATACTTAAAGAATTATGATTTCTGGGGCTGGGGATTTAGCTCAGCGACATAAGCACCTGTCTTGCAAGCAGGCGGTCATGAGTTCAATCCCCAGTACCGATAAAAAAAAAAAAAAAAGAATTACGATTTCTGAGTCTTCTAAATCAACATGGTGGGAACTAATTCTGGCGTATTTGTTAGCTATAACTATGATGACTCTAAATTAATGCTTACCCAATTGTTTTCCTCCCAAAATAGGCCATGATCATTGCCTTCACATCAGACATGATCCCCCGTCTGGTGTATTACTGGTCCTTCTCCGTCCCTCCCTACGGAGACCACACTCACCACACAATGGAAGGCTACATCAACAATACTCTGTCCATCTTCAACGTCTCAGACTTCAAAGACATAAGCAAGGCAGACTCAGACTCTGGGCTTGGTAACTATACCACATGCAGGCAAGTTCTGTTTCACCTGTTTAGAAATTCACTTCACTTGAGAGGAACTTTTCTTGTAGTGTAATTCTATCTCATATTACCTAAATTGCTAGAGACAAGGTTTTCCTGTAGCTTGCTTTTCAAATTAAACAAAGATTAGGGATATTAGGGATGGGCTTTCAAACCAAACCAGAAAAGCAAGGTTGAGAGTTCCAAATGGTTACAGAGACTGATCCAAGAGGAAGTCTTATATATTAGATATAAACTCGAAAAGTTTCAGAAACCCAAGTGCCTGGATTAATTTGTTATATAAGCACAACCTGAAGCTAAGAGACAATTATTACCCTGATTCAGATTTTCAGTAACACAACCCATAAACTAGAAATAAGCCCAGAATAAGTGTTCCCAAGTTACAGAACTAAGGGCCACTTTAGAATCCCATACTGCATCTACCTAACTCTTACTTTACATAATGCTCATCAAACTCTTCTAGACCTGATAGATTACAGGCAGGAACGCAGAGACATGCTACCTGAAAAAGGCGCTCTGACAGTAATAGTATGTGGCAACTCACAACAAGGAATTAGGTAGAAAACTTTTAACAAGGAGGTTATAATTTGTTCTCAGTAGGGAACAGTGGACCCATGGCTGAGGCAGTTCTCACCGGACCATTTTATAAGTAAATTTACAAACATCCTGAAAATAGGCTGCATGGTTTTATACTCTTTTTCAGAAAACATACAGCTGTGGGCCCCTGTCACCCTTTTTTCCCCCCCCATCTTTTGCTCTCTTATTAAGATGGATTCTTTTTCACAGGTGAAATCTGTTATTATCATTTTCTGATGATGTGTTCAATGAATTATTGCTGGAGTCATTGTTCTCAGAGTTTTATTGCCAAATTGAACTCTAGGAGAAAATTTACATGATGATCAATTTCCAAAAACATTACTTCAAATATGACTCTTGTTTTTAAAAAAAACTTGTTTATAGTGTTTGATCAAAAAACTTCATCCTGATATCTGTCTGTTGTGTTTCCAGGTATCGTGATTTCAGAAATCCACCTGGACACCCACAAGAATACAAACACAATATCTACTATTGGCATGTGGTTGCTGCCAAGCTGGCTTTTGTCATTGTCATGGAGGTAGGAAAAGTATACTTCAAAGTAGTTTTAAGACCATATATTTGTGGATATTATATTTAAGTATGATCAACTTAAAATGTATATTTTCTTATTGCATGCTAAGAATTATTGTAAGACATATATATCAGGTTTGGCATAGTCATAATGCTATTATAAATGAAATTGGGAGTTTGTTTATTGCTTTTTGCTTTGTTCCAGTTTTGTAGTACCAGGGATTAGACCCCAGGGCCTTTATACTGAGCTATATCCCCAGCCTTTTATTTTGACACAGGTTCTGGCTTAAGCCACTGAATTGCCTGGGCTGGGTTTGAATTGTGCCTAGCCTCTCACAGAGCTGGGACTACAGGAGTGCACCACCATTCATGGCTTGATTGTCTTTTAGAAGTTAGAAAGCATGTTATATGCAAGAAGGATTCAGTACCATTCAATACATTATTAACTGAGTGCCTTTTAAATTCAGGAGCATTGAGCAGTGTCTTGGTCTGTGAAGACCTTTAGATGAGTAGGTGTGATCTCTGTATCCAGGGAACTTGCTATTACACTTTTATTCATATTATGTTCTCCAATTATTGCATTTTTCATAATACACCAGCTTCTTACAATAGGTTATACATCCCTAAAATTAAGTAGCTCTGAAAAATGACTAAGATAGCTGCACCTTGTCAGTTGAAGTAGCCAACCTCTTTTCTAGGTGAATACCAAGTTACAAAGCCTCAGAATTAATGTGGGGGGAAAAAAAAACCCCTTTTTTGTTTAAGCCACTATAGGTTAAGTTTTCTTAAGTAGAACATGTATGCAGTACACACGGTTCACAGGCATCTCGGAGGGTGCACTGCTGTATATAATGCAGCTGGATTCTCAGTCGCTTCTTTCCTGCCTCTCTCCCTCCTCCCCAGTCCCTTTTCCCCACTTTCATTCTTGTTGATATTATTTATCTTATCTCATATTTATGACACAGAATGTTTACATTCATGCAGGTTATCAGGCTCCTGTGCACGGCCTGTCTTTATACCTCTTCTTTCGCCTTCCCCCTTCCCCTCCCCACCTCCTGCTACCCACATTCTCTTGGATCTCTTCCCATTTGCGGATGATCCATCCCCTTGTTGTGTTTGTGGGGTTTTTTTTTTTTTTCTTGTTGTTGTTGTTTTGAGACAAGGTCTCAATTTGTAATTCAGGCTGGCTTCAAACTCCTGGTAATTCTCCTGCGTCAGCCTCCTGAGTCCTGTAATTATAAGCATGTGCCACTATGCCAAGTATCTATCTCCTTGTCTCTATCCATCCTTTCTTTTGCTTTTTGCACTTTGCCTCACTCATGTGAGAGTAATTATTCCCATCATCCAATTAGAAGCCCCACCTCTGAACACATGAGACTTTTGGGGAACATTTTAATCCCAGCCATGACAAATATAGTCAGATATCATCCCCAAAAAATGCTGTGGAAGGTAGTACAAATGTAGAATCACAAAAGAAGTTTGAGTAACTGAAAAATTATTCCACAAAGAACATACCAGGCTTTATGATTTTGTAGGAAAGTGATACCTTTTAGAACAGATCATTTCAATCTTATGCAAACTCCCTCAAAGATGGGATGGGGGGGTAAATCCTCTCCAACTCATTTGGTAAGGCCAAATCTAGGTCTAAAATGAGACAGGCATAAAGAGAGAAAGAAAAATTTAAGGCCAGTCTCACTCGTTTCATAGATGGAAAGATCATTTTAGAAAATAGAGTAAATCTAGCAATGTTTAAAAGATGGCATTGATTTTAACATAGAAATGGAAGGTGATGTAACACAAATCCACTGATCTGTAAGTATGGCCTCCTTCAGAAATAGATGACAGAAAAGAATGCCTCTTTTAGCCAGGCATGGTGGCACAGTCCTGTAATCCCAGCAGTCGGGAGACTGAGGCAGGATAATCACCACCAAGCTTGATGCAAGCCTGGGCTACATAATGACTTGAAGGCCAGCCTAATGACAGTGAGACCTTGTTTCAAAACAAAACAACAAGACGCCTCGCTCCTCCATCCCTACTCTTCTCCATCATCATCAAATGCTCAATTTCTCTTCATCTTGTTTGCCTCACCATTTCTACTCCGTTTCTCTGTTCTCCCTTGTGGCCGGTGCCTTTGAAAGAGTGGTCAGTGCTCGCTGTCTGTGAGTCCTCTTCCTTGTTTTTTTTGCACGCCCATTGTGGTTGTGCCTTCCTACTTCCATGTTACTGAAAATGCTTTCGCCACAGTCCCCACAGCTGTCATATCGCTACATTCCTGTGAATACTCTACTCTCACATTACCTAACCTACCAACAACACTGGGCATGACCAGTTAGTCCTCTTGGAAACTCCTTTGGCTACTAGGAAAATGCGTCCTATAAAAGCAGTAAAAGGAGAGAAGGGAAGTTGTAATATAATGGTAATGAGGTCAGTTCAGCAAAAAGATATAAGACCTGTAAATATATATGCAGCCAATTTTGGAGCATCTAAATACAGTGGCGTCTCAGTTCCCAAACTTAATTCTTTCCACAATTCTAGGTTGCAAACTGAATTGGACGAGAACCAAATCAAATTCAATGGTTAGATTCAATGTTAATCTTGTGGGAAAAATTGATTCTGGTGGTAACCAATTTGTTTTGTGATCAGAATCTTGGAAAGAATTAAGTTCATGAGCTGAGGCCCCTCTGTCTATAATTAGATATTAATGTACTTAAAGGGAAAGCTAGGCTCCAGTGTAATAGTAGTAGTGGATTTTAACACCCTATTTTCAGCACTGGACAAATCATTCAAGCAAAAAAATTAGTAGAAAAATAGAATTAAATTCTGAAACCAAGTGAACCTAACAGACACCTACTGAACGTTCCATTCATCAGCTGCCAAATGCCTTTATTCTGAAAAAGCACATGGACCATTCTCCAGGACTGATCAGATAATAGACCCCAAAACAAGTTTCAACCAATGTTTTTAAACTGTGTAAAGTATTCAGATACATGGAAATTAAACATATTCCTGAACAACCAATGAAGAATGAAAAAATTAAAACATTTTTTGAAACAAGTGGTAGTATCTAACAGGTGTATCTAGGCCTATCAAATGCAACAAAAACAACGCTGAGAGGTAAGTTTGTAGCAGTAAGTGCCTGTATCAAAATAGCTGAGAAGTCTTGGGGTTGGAGATGTAGGTCAGTGGTGAAGAGCTTGCCTTGCATGCCAGAAAGGTCCTCAGGTTTGGTCCTCAGCACTTGAAAAAAAGGCAGAAAAATCTCAACTTATTGTTTCACCTCAAAAAACTAGAAAATTAAGAACAACAACTAAGATCAGTAGAAAGACATAAAGATCAGAGCAGAAATAAACAACATTGAGATTTAAACAGCAGTACAAAAGAATGAAATGAATTGGTTGAAAAGATAAAATCGACAATTGGAATAACTAAGAAAAAGATAGTTTCAATACCTTTAACACTTACTCAGCATAGGACTAGAAATCCTAGCTAGGGCAATCAGGCAAGAAGGAGAAAGAACATCAAGATTGAGAAGAAAGAAGGCAAATTGTTGTCTGCAGATAATATGATCTTGGACCTGTATTTGTAAATTAAAATGAATTGAAAAAATGCACAAATTTTAGAATGCCTACATTTTATAAAATTGAATTATGAAGGAATAGAAAACCTGAACACAGTAATAGGTAATTCGATTGAATCAGTAATAGAAATTCTACCATCAGAGAAAAGCCTGAGACCCAATGGCTTCACAGCTGTCAACCAGATATTTAAAGAACATCAATTCTTAAATTGTTCCCAAAAGTTAAGCAGAGGAAATTTTCTAAATCATTTTGAGGTCAACATTTATCCTGCCACTAAACCAGAAAAGGATACAACCAAAAAAGAAAGCTATAGGCCAAAGTTCTTGAGCAAAAATTTTCAACAAAGTGCTAACAGATAAATCTAATAGCACATTTAAAAGATCATTCACATGGCCAACTGGAATTAATCCCAGGGATGCACAGAAAAAAAATGGAAAGACATTCTTGTGTATTCATGTATGAGAAGAATCAATATTGTTAAAAGGTCTGTACTACCTAAAGTGATCTAAAGAGTCAGTACAATTCTTATCAAAACAGCAGTGACATGCTTCACAAACTGGAAAAAACAATCCTAATATCCCTATGAAGCCACAAAAGTTACCTAAGCAAAAAATACATTACAAAAGAGGAAAGAGCTTGCAGTAAACTATCCGTGTACAGCCAACTGATCTTTAACAAAGTTGCTAAGAATATACACTGGGAAAAGACAGTTTTTCAATAAAAGGTGCTGGAGGCTGTAGATATCCACATGTCAAATGAAATTACATCCCTATCTAAACAGGTAAAAAGTCAATTAAAAATGAAGTAGAGACTTACATGTAAGACCTGAAACCATGAAATTACCTGAAGAAAAAAAAAAAAAAAAAACTGGAGAAATGTTTCAGGACTTTTGGAATGGGAAAGGATACTTTGCGTGAGACCACTTTTTAAAAGCATGGATAACAAAAGCATTAACGAATGGAATTACCAGGAGCCTACAGAATAGAAGAAAAATATTTGCAAAGTCTGTATCTGTGATAGTCGACTTTTTAAATTTGATCAGCTTCAGAGATGCTTAACTGAGTAAAGCACTTTTTGGTGAGTCCGGGTGGGCTACAGGGCTTGACCTTGGGACTGCTTATGGTAGAGAAATAGTGGAGGCTTATTATTGGGCCTTTGTGAAAGCCAGAGTCAAGATTATAGCAACAAATGCTGAGGTTGCGCTACCCTGTGGGAATTCCAAATAGGGCCCTGTGAAGGAATCTCTCCAGGAGTTCATGACCTGTATGGCCTTATGTGAAGACTTTGAAGAAGCAACTGTTGATCCTAAGCCCATTTCTGGGTACTGAAATGGTGCAGGTGGCCACACCATGATTAACACAAAGGCCATGTAGGGAAAGGATGGTCTGACGTGCTTTGAGAAGGCCATCAAGCAACTGGACCAGCAGAAGTACTAGCACATTCGTACCTGGGATCCCGAGGGGAGCCTGGCCAGTGCCTAGCACCTTACTGGATTCCATGCAGCCTCCAACATAAACCACTTTTCCACTGGCAGAGCCAGCTGTCTTTCCAGCATCCATGTTCCCTGGACTATTGGTCAGAAAAAGGGTTACTTAGAACACTATCACCCTTCTGCCAGTTGTGAACCCTTTGCTAAGACAGAAACCCTCATTTGCACATATCAATACATGGAGTTTATAATATTATTTTATGATGGTCACCCAGAGTTAACAAAAGAGAATGCAGGCAATCTATCCACAATACTAAAGAGATAGCATGTTTAGCCAAAGGCCTGAGTCCCACAGCAGTGTCCTTCATGAGTCCAGATGAAGACCCAGAGTTCATGACAGTGCCTCCCATGAGTCCCACTGGAGGTCCAGAGCCCACAAGGACTCACACCAGTCTCTTACGGATCTGTGCTGGGCAGGTCCAAAGGTCAGTGGTGGAACTATGAAGTCATGCTCAAAACCAAGACCAGAGCTGTCCTGAAAAGCACCACAGCCATCCTCAGCCACATGGAGGCTCCGAGCTCCTCCTACAACAAGCACAGTCGAGTATGTGCCAGGAAGCCAGTGTGACGAGTTCATCCTGGAGATTAAGCGGCACACGTCTTCCCCTCTGGAGCCAGGAAGCAATGCTCAATGTGAGGACCAGAGCTTCTCTAGGAGAACCAGCAGCTCAAACAGCAACTCGTAGGAGAACCCACAGTGCCACAGTGCCTCAACACCTCGACACCTCTACGCCTCTACACCTCAAAATGTCTCTCTCCTCCTTTTCCACGTTTCTATGCTGGCAACTTTCCTCAGGTGGAACATCTGCGCTTAGCACCATGGTGATTTAATTCCAGGGGCATTAAGTTTTTAATCCGAACATCCTGAAAGGATGATCTTGAATATTTTTGCCACAAAGAAATGACAAATGAGGAAATACATGTATTCTATTTGAACATTATCAAATGATACATGTATCAAAACATTACATGGTGCCACATAAATATGTACAATATTTATGTATGTTTTAAGAGTAAAAACATTTTTGATCTTTTCTACTCCTTTGTCTCCTGCAGTCTTAGTTTTAAATAACAAACGGGCTTAAAATTGACATTTTTCTAAAACTTCTGTCTCGAACTCACGTGTGAATCCAGCTGTCTCCCTGGTCTTCTTGCTTGAATATCCCCTGGGAATCTCAAATCATCCTGCACCTAATCCCTGTGTTTTGTTATATTCACCTCAGTTTGCCCAGTTATTTAGAGCTGCCTGCAGAACCAGCCCATCATGAACGCGTTAAGGAAGTGAGCCATGCATGTAGCGGGAGGAAGGTTACAGTGCACGGTACCGCCACACACAGTGCCAGTGCACAGTCCGGAGGGTGGGAGTCCCCAGAGTGGGTGCCAGGAATGGTGTGACTGGAGTGAAGAGAGGAGGGAGAAGAGACAGTGGAGAGGCACAGAGTGTGGCTTATTTTCTTATTTTTACCCCACATCTAAACCTGATGGCTTTCCTTGGAAAATATATCTCTCAACATTTCTTACAATCTCTGCTGCTTCTGCCATGTTAGCTTTGTGTTTACTGTAAAAAAAATATTAGCTAATGGTTACAGCTGTTTCCGCCCGTGGTTGCTTGGCCCTGATACCTCTGGGTCTGTGGCAAGGCATTAAGTCATGATGGGAGTACACTGTGGTGGAAGCTGCTCACCTCATGGCAGCTAGGAAGCAGAAAGCGAGAGCAGAGAGCCTAGGGTCTCGAGCACCTCAGGGACCTGACTTCCTTCTGCTAGGCCCCATCTTCTAAAGTTTGTATCACTTCCTAATAGCACCACAGGCTGAGGTCCAAGCCTTCAACAATGGGCCGCTGAGGGCATGTTCCAAATCACAGCACCCCAGCGTGGAGTCACTGGCATTTCCTGCCTGCATTAGGTGTAGAGTCTTCTGTTGTCTCCTGCTAAAGTCAAGTCCTTCTGTGGTGTACAAGGCCTCACACCATCCAGCCATGCTCATTTCTCCCCTTGTGATTACCCCACCACTCCTCACTTCATTCCCCCCTCACCATCCCTGGAACCCACCCTGCAGACTCCTACCCTTTATACACTGGCTGTGCTCTTTGTCTAGCATGATGATGGTGAACCTTTTAGAGACTGGGTACCAAACAGCAACCCCAACCCACTAACTTATTGCAAAACACCAGTACTGCAACTAAACCTGAATGCTGAAGTTTTCATTTAGAAAAACACCAGCTCTGCATTAACATCTTTTGCCTTAAAAGAGAAACATTTAACACTGTGCCGTAGGTTCACAACTACTGGACTTTCCCCCTGATTCCTGCATGGCTCACTCCCTCACCTTCCTAACGCCTTCACAATGGGGCCATAATTTGTATGTCTCATTTTGGGCAGCTCTGAACTGCTGATGATAACTATGTTATCCCATCGAGTGACATGGGACAGTCCCATTGGGCAACTTGGGATAGTCACGTTGACTATTACAAGCTGTCCAGTGGGGCAGTTGTTACATGCACCACCAGTGGTACAAGCCAGCAGGAAAGTGTTAAAAGTCTTTGCTTGATAAGGCAGAGCTACACTATCCCATACAAAGTCCACATCAAAATCTATATATAAAAATTTTGTAGTGTAATTTTTCCTGTACTGCTGTATTGTTTTCCCATAGCTGTCATCACTTTTGATAGGATGCTCAATTTGTTTTTAAGTATGTTTATGGTATTCTGTCTCCATCCCTTGGCTAAGGAAGGATTTGGGTTAGTAAATAAACAAATGAAAAGATGTTTACCTCAGTTAGGTAAAAGAAAGTAAGGCCACAGGCAAATGAACATTTCATAATTATTACGTAGGTTTTAAAAAACTAATGATTCATATACCAGCAAGGATATAGAGCACTTGATAGTTACGCACTGCTGATGGGAGTGTAAGATGGTATAACTGCTTTAGAAAATACTTTGCTATTATATTGCATAGTTGGACTGTCATGTGACCAAGGGTCCCAACAGTGCCTTATGTTCCTACTCTCAAGAAACTCTTATAATTGCTCTAGGATCCAAGTACAAGAATACTCACATAACATAACTCTTAGTGCATCACCTGGAAATTAGTCCAGTGCCTATCTATAAGGGATATTATACAGCAGTAAAATATTACACAGCAGTAAAAAATGAATGGGCTGATATATACAATATAACAATTATAAACTTTAGAAACTAGTTTTGAATTTTAAAAAAGCCATTTTCAAAATACTATATATAGTACTGTACTGTTACAGTGTTCAAATGAGGCACCATTAAATATATCTTTTAAAGACATATACATAGTTATTTTTAAAAATGATACATATTTAACAGATTTGGGATAATGTTTACCTTTGGAGAAGTAGCAGCATTAGAAAAAGACACAAAAGGCAGAAACATTGTTGGTGTCCTAGTTTTTTAATACATGTGTATGTGCATGTATACACACTTACATGGTCTTCTCTATAAATAGGATAGTGTGTAAATTCTAAAATAACAAAGTATGAGGGGAAAAAAGGAGATCATGCCGTCCATGCTGTCCTCACACTGGTCCTGGAGACTGGCCGGAAGCAGGCCGTCCTCCCTGGCCTGGTACCTGCCACCACGACCGGCAGCGATGAAAGAACTCTGTTTCCCTCCAAAGTGCCTGATGTCTTCCCTCCTCTCTCCACAGCACATCATCTACTCTGTGAAGTTTGTCATTTCTTACACAATTCCAGATGTCTCAAAAAGCACGGAGAGCAAGATCAAGAGAGAAAAATACTTAACCCAGAAGCTGCTTCATGAGAATCACATGACAAAAAACATGGGCATCATGATTCAGAAGGTGGCTGAAGTGGTAGATAACAATCGTCGACCAAAGTCCGAATGAGAAGTGCTCTTACGTTCTGAGAAGTGCTTTAACGAATTCAGTTCTGTCAAAATATGTTACGAACTGCTAATGAGAATGTTTAAATGAAATCATGCTGGCAAATGTGAGTCTTAAATGTTGTCATTTATGCATTTGTCAGTTTCAGCTATTGGTGCAGGAATTGCAAAATGTAAGAGATCAAGGAACGCCATAAAACTTCCCACCTGGAAAGCCTGATGCTACCCTTTTCTGATAAATTGGAATTCTAGTAACACAGGAAAAGTCTTTTTACTGTGCTGAAAAACCACCTTTTCTAAAGCAGAGCACATTTTTTTCCTCTTAAATTACTCTGTTCCTTTTTGTTCTCAAGTATGATTTCCTTTATTTTTAGGTAATGTTTCATTTCTTCATCTTACCAAATCTGTTCCAGAGTTGAAAAGTATTACTGTACCATTATTCGAGACTAAATGTGCTACCATCTTAGTAGCTCTTACGTGATTAAAAAATAGCTAACTCAGAATTGAGTTTGAGTGCTCTGTTAAGTGGCAAATAGATTCAAGAATTCACAATATTTAGGCATATTATCGTATCCGCACAGAAAGCCCTAATTTAGTAAGAAATAGTTTCAGTCTAGCCTCTTTTCCATCTCAGAGAAATATCCTTAATGGATTGGAATAAGGATAGCAAGCTCTTGAAGCATGTTTGCAATAATCCACAGTGACACCTTTTATCTTCTAGGAGCATTCCTAGAATGTTCTGTGCCTAATCAGTGTTGACTACTTTGTAGACCTCAAGGAAATAAGATGACAAAAAGTAGGGAAAATTACAGAATTATAACTCTCATTGATCTGGATAATTCATTTACCTCTTCTAAAGATCCGTAGTTTCTTGGAGGAAAAAAATGATTACTGAATGATTGAAATTACATTTTTATCAACATAATGGTCTAGAAAAGGTAAGCCCCTCGGTTTCCCATCAGTTGATTTTTACTAAATCCAGGAGGTGCTTTATCACAGACTACCAAGCGCCTTAGTGAGTGGCTCGCACTGTTGGCCTTGTGGCATTATGATGCTGTGCAGTCAGGGAGACAGCAGATGCCCTAATTGGGAGCCACACTCTTGTGGACCTCGTGTGGGGGGACTCCTGCGTGACTTTGTTGCTGTATGCTCCAGTGATAAATATACCAAAGCGCCTGCCATATGGTGAATGTGGCTTCCTAACCTTCCGTCCTCTTATTCTGGGCCCAGTTGCTTGGTGGTAATTAAATGCTTGCACTAGGAATATTGCTCATCATGGAAGACTGAACTGGACTTGAATGTCCAGCCTTTCCTAAGTAAGGCTCATCAGGTCATTAAGGGCAACAGGAGAAAGTTTTGGTGGCAGACTCCAATGTCGTTTACAGGTCGCTTTTTGCTGACCTCTGCACCACCGTGCGTCTTTCCCTCAGTCTACTCAGCCTAGCAGCTTGCTGAGCGTTACTGCCTGTTAAGTGTCAGCAGGGCCTGCACCTCTCTCTAGGCAGTGCTGGGTGGAGGGGGAGGTGGCTCACATCATGTTTGTGGATGGGCCCCTCTCCCCTTTGGGGTGCTGTTAAATCCTCAGGTGCCCCAGGAGTCAGTCTATCCAGAATCCAGGAGCAGTGTGAACATAATTTCAGTGACCACACTCTGAAGGCTTGTACAATAATAAAGTGGCTGAACTCCAGATCACAACTCCAAGTACCTTCCCTGTTTTCAGTTTCTTAAAAAGTGTATATATGCCATCTGCATAATGTATATAATTCATCAGGCAGTATTCTGTGCTTTTAAATTGTCCCATTGGATCAGGGACAACTTTTCATTACCTTTCTTGATAATGTATGTTAACAGAATGGCCAGGATGCCCAGCACAGGCCAGGAAGGAGCATCTTCCCCGCAGAGGGAACTGTGTTTTGTTTCCACACGTCCTAGATGGGGCACCACTGTGCCCTTGCCTACCCTCCCTGAGACAGCTCCTGGAGTGGTGTGTCACTTTTTCTCTTATTACCTCTTCTATTTTCTAAAGTGTGTGTGACTATCTCCTAGTGTTAGATTCGGCAGTTTCTGTCATCATAGAAAACAAAATGTTTGTACCTTATCTCTCTGTATATAGGATAGATTTTCAAAAGAAATATGCATTTATGTGCTCTTAACCCAGCTAAGAGATTACTCTTCATAGTTGAAAATGTGCTGCTGTGGACAGGAGGAAAAAAAAACCCCAAAAAACTCTACATTTCAAAAGGCAGCAAAGGTGATACCTAACACTGCCAGCTGCCCCAGAAAGCTAAGTTGCCATGGAGACCTCCACCCCGCCCCGCTGCCACTGCCACCACCATTCCCTCATTGGTGTTCATGTGAGTGTGGTGTAGGTGGTGGGGAAAGAGGGGGCGCTGTGCCTGTGGGCTGGGGGCTGCATCTGCAGAGGAGCGGAGGCAGCTGCTCACCCCCCAAAACCAAACAGCAAGGTAGTGAGCCTGTGAGGGAGGACCTGGTCCTCACCCTGTCCGGTGTTAACCACTAGAGAAATTTTAGCTTTACAGCCTTTTGTAATACCTGTGAATTTCAGTGGATTGAAGCATTAGGCCAAATACTCAGGGTTTTGTTATTTTTCTTTAAACATCCCTCACATGTTCTAAATAGTTCATTAGAAATGGAAAGCCATTATTTTTGTTGTAAAACTAAACTAGGCAATCTTGTAAAATGTCACACCAAACTCTTTGTATTGCACATGTATCTTGAATTTCACAGAACATTAATTCACAATAGGGGGCAGAAAGTGATCTGTTGGTGAAACACATCTTATACTCTTTTCTTACGTTATAATGTGTTTGAAAAGTTAATGTGTGAGCAAAACTGAAATATTCATTATGCTTTTCATATACTGTGGCCTAAGATGTAAAATTTGTAATTAATGTGTTAATTTCTATGCATTTAATATTCTTTATAATTATGAGCATTTTAATAAATTCACTTTTACAACAATAACTGTGGTCTACTCTGTTTATCTGAAAGTTTTAAGGAAAAAAGTATATAATTGCTACTTACTAATGAGCAGTTATGTGTTACTTAGATAACAAGCGTTAGCTTTTCAGATTATATCTAACATAGTATTTTTTCATAGCTACACTTAGTTTGAATATAGCTTTTCTTAGAAAAATTGAGGATGAGGTTTGAGTCAGGACTGCTGCCTAGAGATCAGCTGAAGACTGCCCACCTGTTCACAAGGCCAGCTGCCTGGTGTGGCCAAGGGCTGGGAGGAATGGGTGTGTTTCTCTAACTGCAGAAAGAACATCTGCTTGCTAAGTGAGACTTCAGTAGGCATCACCCAAAGAGAACAAATATGAGAGGTACTGCGTGGGTCTACAGCAGCTCTGGGTACAGAGTGAAGAAATGATAAGAGACAATCTCATTACAAAAATCACCTTTTTTTTAAAGAGTATAGTATATTTATTGAAAGAAAGAATGCTGTCAGAGAGAGAGTGGGCTGCCAAAGACTGTCTTTTCTAGGGACTTTTATAGAGCAAAACCACGATAGGTCCAAGGTGGGAAAAATATAGACATTTGCAAGGCAACAGCCATGAGGTGGGACAAAACTGTGCTCAACTAATAAGATTAATTGTTCAGGTAAAATTGACCAAATCAGGGACAAATGGAGACTCATAACAAGGAGGCATGCTTAAAGAGCAGTGACTCTAGGAGGGTTGGAGTGGTGACTCCGGCTTCCTCAAGGTGATCCGTACTTATTTAGAATATTAATCCCTGATGTTTATACTTGCCTGCTTGAGGTGTGGTTGCATTCATTTCATCTTTTGTCTTGAAATCTGGCCCACAGCCGGAGGTGTCTGTCTCCAATTGCAAGGTATCTGACATTCTGCACTGGTTTCCTGGGGCAGGGGCCTCAGCCCTGTTTGACTGCCTGTAACATCCCCACACCTGAAGAAGTAACCTGAACTGCCATGAGGGGGTACTGGCCAATCTAAGCTTCTTTAGGCTGACAGGAGTCCATAGTTGTTGATCAGCAGTCAGGCTTTCAATAGACAACAGGCCTTTCATCTTGGGTAGGTGTACAGCTTTAAGTCTGGTCTAGAGGAGACAAAGCCAAAGAAGCAAGTATGCCTGAGCCAAATAATAGAATCAACAGGATGATTATGAGTACAGTTAACAAAGATTTCCACCAAGAGGAACTAGTAATGGCTTTCCATAAGGATAAGAATAAGGTTCAGGGAATCTTAAGAGTCTGACATGTCATCAGTTTGTTGTCTAATGTCTTAAAAAGCTATTGAAATATTAGCAAAAGGATCAGGAATGTAGAAAACACTTAATTTTTACAATTTATGAGTATTTCCTGTGCTGCTATTTGAATGTCTAATGCCATCTGATTTTGGAGGACGATCTGTTTCATTAATTTTATTTCCATATTTAGGAAAGAGCAAGGCCCGTTGAGTATAATTAAGATCTCAATATATGTCATATAACCTTTTCTCCAAACAAGATCTGGTAGATCCCAGGAATCTAAAAGGAATTTAACTTATTTGTTACTGGTTTTGTCTGTGTATCTTGGGATTTGGCACCTTCTAGGCAAGAGCAAACTTTAATCAAAGCATTCTATAATCAAAGTATATACAAAGGCCTGTGTAATCAAAGCATGAGCATTAGAGCTGACAGGTAAGTTTATAAACTTTCTAAGGGATAGCAATTGTAACCCATTGGCTCTTAGGTCTCTTTTATTAATGGAGTCTGACATTTTATCATAAATTCTTCTAGTGTTAGTTATAATTATTTCTAAATTTTGATAACATGAGAACCAAATTGATATATTATTTTGACAAATGAAAAACTTCTTAATTTTTTTATATGAACAATAATATGTACTGTATTTGTAAAAACCAGTCCCAGCATCATTTTGAATCATTAGCAACCTGGATATATATTACAGCATTTAGACAGGATAAAATCTCTCCAGAACTGGAGTTGGGCTTTTAGGCATTGAAAGGATTTTGCCCTGGATGGGATGCTGCTGCACTGGGAGGCTGGGAGGTGGAACCAAGGGGTTCTATCTTGAGGTCACCTTCCCCGCCCCTATGCAATTTATCTGTGGTGCAAAATGAATTCCAATGGGCTAACTGTGCATCAGTAATGCCCTTAGGCACCACCAAACCTAAGCTATGCCATAACACGTGCCCAGCAGAGAGAAAAGCCAGACCTCAGTGGTGATGGTGTGTGTGGGGAGTTCTCTTTCCATGTTCTTAAAATAAAGGCCGTTTTTATTTCTTATTTCTATCTTTTTAGCCGCGCGGAAATTTCTATCAGGCGTAACTAAAAGGAATAAATGAAGAGAAAGTTATAAGTTACAGTTAAGCAACACATATTTTGGTGACTGTATTGAGGTACAGTACCTGGAAGGAAGACCAGAGTTGAGAGGAAAAGAGACATGTGATAGTGTCCAGCACTGGGCTGGTTTTTACCTCTTGTCATGATTACGCAGGGCTCCTGCTTGGAGATGACAAGCAGAAATGACAGCTTGGTCAGAGGGAGGAGGCAAGTGCCCAAGTCCTTCAGTATTGTTGGGCCAGGTGATAGGATGGATCTGAACTCTGGGGTCTTGGCCTCAGAGGGCAGTCTGACTCCATATGGTCACCTTTTCAGTTAGGGCATGGCTTGGGGGCCTCTTAAGGCAGTCCCTTTTAAGGTGACCTGGCTTGTGGCAGCAATAGCAGGTCAGTGTAGTCTTTGTTGAGCTCTTCCTGGAGCCCAGAGAATCAAACTTAAGGTCTGTTTCTTTTAAGGCCTCAACAAGGGCAGCTACTTTTTGGTCTCTGGTTTTCTCCCAATTCCAATTATAGAATACTAAGGAGGCAGTCTTTACTAAAGTATTAAGTGAACTATCTGGTGCAAAGGCTATCTTTTGTAACATTTCTAATATTTGGAGTTGACTAATAAATTTATCTTTAAGAATAATCTGTCCCTCTGTTGGATCAGATTCTATGGACAGTGTTTTACTAGTGCCTCTAATAAATGATCTAAGAAGTCAGAGGGGTTTTCATCTTTCTCCGGAAAAACAGCTGACAATTTAAAATAACCTGAAGGCTGGTTTTTCTCCTTAGACTTTCAAGGAATACACATTTGAAAATTCTCCTGTTTTATTCTACTGTCTGGTTGGTAGGCCAGTTAGGTGTCTTAGATGGGAACTGCTTGTACCTCAGTGGAAACTAGTGGTTCCCCTGGCTGTCAGTCTTCAGTCTAAAATTAATATGATATTCATCTCCAAATGCAATAGCAGCTTGTGATGCTGTTTGTCTCTCACTAGAAGTTTAACAATGCATCTTTCCAATCTAATTTATAAGTTTGAATAAATCCTCTAAAAACATCGATGAACTTGTCAGGGTCATCTGAAAATTTTTCTAGTTCTAGCTTAATTTGCTTTAAGTTATGAATGGGGACAGTCCCATAAGGGACAAAAGGAGTCCTGAGTGGGTTGCCCCCAGAAAATCACTCTTCTTTATCCTTAACATATAATCCAGATTATAACATTCCATCCTCTGATTTTCTTGGCCAGTTTAAGACTCAATAGATATGCAAATCAAAACTGCAAGTCAAATACATTCCATATCTGGGGTCACAGATTGAAGCTTCACATGGTCACTAAATGATACTCCTGGGACCAGGACTAACAGCCATCATCCTCCATTCAGACATTAGAAGCCCAGCAAAGGGGCTATTAGAGATTTATTGCTGAACCAAATTTCCCCTTCTCTCATTTGGAGAAGATGATGGGCTCTTAAATAATTGGTATCTGCTTCTCACCAGGCACCAGGCCATGTGTTTCTTACACATAATCTCACTGCCAATATGATTATCACAGAGAACTAAGTGACTTTTTGAAAAGATTACAAAATAAATATGTGATTGTGTAAGAAATTTGCTATGTTGATAAAAATGTCAAGCTTCAGAAAAAGGCTGTTGAGGGAAGCCCCAGGCCCCGCCTCTCCAGAGGTATCAATACATGTGGTCTGTCCAAGGCAGATTCTGTATCCAACAAAGACTTAAGAGATTTAAATTAGCTTTATGAGTGCATGTTTGCAATACATAATGATTACGTTTGTCACACAGAGTGGGCACATGTAATACATCTTTGTACTTCCCTCCCTGTCCTCCTCTCTTAGTTCCCTCCCCATTTGCAGAAACCACCCTGTGTCCTGTTATATACATTTTGCTCCTAATTTATACTTTGAGTTTCTCCTATAAAACAAACCATGTAGTATTTCAAGACTTCAGATTTTATAAGGTTACAGTCACTGCATTACAGTTCCAATCAGAGGAGGTAGTTCTTTTATGAAACTTTTAGGTTTAGTCCAGTTCCTTCATAAAGCTAACAAAATTTGCCTAGAACTTGAGAGACTTTGAATAGTTGATTCCATTTATAAAGTTAATGAAAGGTGTTAAAACATATCTGCAGTACCAGCCCATGATATAGTAAGATGTTTTAAAATACCTTGAGAGGACAATTACTGAACGCAAGTGCCCAGGACTGCCTTCACAGAGAACTGAGCAACAGGGGTACACTGTAACTGCACTGTGGGCGAGTAGGAAATGGAGAACACTGAAAATGAGACAGACTGAAACCTTGTAAAACCTAGAGACACCTGAAGCATCAGCATAGTAGGAAATGAAACACTTGGCATCTGCAACCCTGGCTCCAACGCCAGGGTAAGGCAGATCTCACCTTTGCAGGGGTAGCAGTGAAAATCCCAGCAAACCTCCAAGTGTGCAGGCTGACGATCTTCACTGCTACATGGGCACAGTCTTCACAGGCTTACAGCCACCCCGGTAAGTAGCCTGAAATCTGCTTGGTAGACTTGCTCTGGAAAGGGGCTCACAGCACGTCCCAGTGACTCCCTCAGGGGCTGTAACCAAAGAACATCTTGAGCAGGAAACCATTGTATGAATTTGGACTGCTCCTGGGCTCAGAAGTTTCTATATATTCC